GCTTCAAGTGCAATGTTCCCTAGTTCCACTAAGGCAGTGTCTATTACCAGGCTCACCCATCTTTCTGCCATGGACTAACTGGCCTGAATGAAGAGGGCAAGCTTAAGGAAGCTTCAAAAAGTACCCAACCAGTACTTATCTCCCACCCCCAGTGCGTGTACCCTCACTGATGGAAAGGGGAATTCTCCACCCCCGTCTCCCTTAATGACATCAGTTCTCTTTTAGTCTGGTTCATCTTCTGCCTTCCTTACCACCACCCCCAGCCACAGAAATCAGTTCCTTACCCCACCCTGATTAAGATTACTTCCCCTACCCCTTACTCTTAAATGAAAATGTCTGTAACTGCTGTACACTTTGCTGTAAAAAGCAAAACTCAAGCTGGTGAAAAACCGAGAGTTCTGCATGTGATGCCCCAGTCACTTTACTTCCAGTCTAGGACAGGGGGCAGGGGCTGAGTTGCAGAGCACTGACACACCTTGACCTTGATCTTTGTCCTCCCCCTCCCCCCCCGTCCCACCCACCTTTGGGCTGGCGAGGAGCTGCAGTCTTCAAGGACAGCAGTTTCAGGACTAGAGTTTGGGGTCCCTCTCTCACAAGCTACGTCATGTGTGTTTACAGTTTTAGAAAGATGTTTGGGACTGGAGGATTGTCTTTGAAGAGTCTTACAGTTTTTTAAAAGGCATTTTTTTGTTTTGGGTTTTCAAAGGCTTCCTTGTTGGGAAGCAAATCTTCCATGATTCTGTGATGGTTTATCACCCACAGCTGCCAACTGCGGTCGGACTCCCCCCTCTGGCGGTCTGCACCAAGTTAAGCCCATTCCCCCCCGGCGGGCACTGCTAAATTGGTGGCGCAGCTGCTTTCGGATGAAAGATGGGACCATGCACAGCTGGACAGGTGGGGGATAAATTTGAAATTCAGGTTGGCCAAAGGGAGCCCACCTCCTGCTGAAGGCTGAGCGAGGGGGGAAAGAGTCGAGTTGGCAGCTAAAATGGAAGGGACCACCTTTCCCCCCCAGGTTGATGGATCTCAAGTGGAAGGTAGTTGGGGAAGGGCAACATATTTCTTAACAAATCCAAAGAAGGCGAGCCTGTGCTGCCCTCTGCCCCAGAGAACTTCCCAGGATTGGTCATCCCTCCGCCTCGTCCAGCTGCGTTTCATCAGCTGCTACCTTTCCTGTTGTAAACAGAACAGCTGGAAGGTGGTGCTGAAAATAGGCGTGAGCAGAGCATCAGGCTGCTGTTTTTTGCGCAAAAATGGCTGCTGTCGCCCAGCCCCGTATTGCCTGTTCCCACTCTTTCCCTCGGTGCAAAGCTCCTGGAGGGCATGCACCCACGGGGCCCTGCCCTACGCAAGTCTGGCAAAGAGACGATAGGACCATAAATCAATCCAACAAATAGTTTCATTGGCTTTTTTTTAAAAAAAAGACCCAAGCAATTTGAGCTGTGTGTGTGTGTCTCTTTTAGGTGGAATAGGAGCAGCAGATCTTAGTGAGAGGTGCATGAGTGTCTGATGTGCTTCTGCACTCCCCACCCCCCAGCCCAGCCTGAGTAGGCATCTTGCACTGTCTTGTCCTGACTCTTCTCTCCACTCCCACCCCCTTCGAAGACCTCTTCTCTGCACTGGAAGCCTTTGGCTCAGCTCTTCCCATCTGTTCTGTTAACTGCTGTGTTTGAATACCGTGAACCGACCTCTTTGTGCCCGGCAGGCTTTTTAAAAAAAAACACGAAAAAAAGAGAAAGTTGTACGTAGGTGGAGAAAACGACAAAAACTACTAATGAAGCTCTTTTGCGTTTGTGTGCGTTTGTTGTGTACAGTGTGTGCAGCATTCTAAAAGTATGGTAGTGCCAGTTTGGGTACAGGAGGAAACCTGGCGTGAGGTTCGGAAGAGGACTGGATAAATGCAATTTGATGTGGTGTTAATAAAAAGAGCACAACATGTACAAACTCCAAGAAACCTTGTCGTCTTAAGTTCTTGCAGGGAAATTAATGGACGTGACCAGGGTCCCATTAATTTCAATGGCTCTACTCTGAGTAACATTCAGTCGGCTGCCACCCATTATATTTACAAGGTAAGCATAACAACAGCCAAGTTCTACTGAGAGTCGATCCGTTGAAATTGATGGCCACGACTAATGCAAGTTCATTCATTGCAGTGGGTCTGCTCTGATTAGTAATAAGGATACTTGCTTTACATCAGGGATAGGCAAACTCAGCCCTCCAGATGTTTTGGGACTACAATTCCCATCACCCCTAGCTAACAGGACCAGTGGTCAGGGATGATGGGAGTTGTAGTCCCAAAACATCTGGAGGGCAGAGTTTGCCTATGCCTGCTTCAGATGGTTTGTTGGGGAACTCTTGGTCCTCTGGAGGTGTTCCTGAGCCGCAACTCCTATCAGCCCTAGGAAGCACGGCTAATGGGCCTGGGATGATCAGCAGGCAATGCTGAGCCACACGTACCAAGGAAGGGTCTGGCGAAAGGCAGCCCACCTGCCTTTCAGCATCCTTCCAATGATTGAGATCCCTGCATTTGCAGGGGGGTTGGACTTAGAGAACCCTTAGGGTCCCTTCCAACTCTACAATTCGATGAGTGAAACGGCACAGGATGGCTTGTGAAGGCTTGAACCGCATGAAGTGGCCTCATAAGGACTTTGATGCACTGCTGCATCTCAGCCAGTACAGTGGAACCTTGGAAGCTGAACGCCGAAAACCCGGAAGTAATTGCTTCCATTTTCAAACACGCCTCGGAAGTTAAAGAGCTTCCACTGTGTGTTTTTCTATTTTCTCAATGGAAATTGCCGACAGCCCTGGTCTTCTGGAACGTATTACGTTTGACAACCAAGGTTCCACTGTACTGCATAGCCCAGCCCTGGTAGGGACTCCCATCTCCCAACCCAGTGATTTAATTTCAATGTATTACCAGAAGGTGAATCATCTGTACCTGAACCGAGGTGGGGGGGGGATCCTGGGGCTTGCCACTTGTTGCCTGCCACCAACTCCCATCATCCCTGAAGATTGGCTGTGCTGGCAGAGGTTGATGGGAGTAGGAGATGGCAACAAGCGGAAGTACACAGGTCCCCACCACCACCAAAAAAGCTTTACATTGGTTCCCATTATTTTCCCCACAGACAATTTGAAAATGTCTGATGGTCCTGAAAGATGTTTTTTTGCCCGTTGCAGCCATTGTAATGTGCTGTGCGATTTGTAATTGTGTTTTACAGACATGATACAGGCCACCCAAACAAATCTTGCAGAATGCTGATGGTCCAAAGACCATAGTTTATGAACCCCCATTCTTAATCAAGCAGAATATTAAAATCTAAAAGGCAACCCAGGTTTTAATTAAAAATAATCAAACAGCCCAGAGCCTTAGGTTGCATTTTAAAATAGCATCATTTTTTTAAGGATTTATTGACATAACCTGTTTTACAAAACTTAGTGCTTATATATATATATATTTATATAATATTTTTAAAAACCCTCCATATTAATGCAAAACACCTTTTCACAAGAGACACGGATGAGGTTCCAATACAGTCACAAGGTCATAACGGGCATTATTGAAATTTTACCTCGGAGTTCACGTTTCACAAGGATAGCTACAAAAAGGACCAAGCTATTGATTCAGAAAGATGGGATTGAAGGAGAACAGCTGTGCAAAAAATGTGACTCCTACTTTCACCTTGGGTGGGGGAAAGGAACTCTGCGGGGGGGGGGACATTCCTTTAAATGGAATTAGAGCATGAGACTCTTCATCTCAGGGTTGTGGGTTCGAGCACCACGTTGGGCAAAAGATACCTGCATTGCAGGGGGTTGGACTAGATGACCCTCATGGTCCCTTCCAATTCTCTGGCTCTAATTTCCAGCAAGGATCAGCAAATTGGATTGTAAGTGCGGCTTTTCTTGTCCCTGCTTTTTTTGATATATGGCTGTAGGCTCAGCTACTTTTTAAATTCAGTTTCTAGCCCTCATTTATTTCCAACGCATCTGGTCACCACTAACTCTGGACACATGGCTTGTGCAGGGCAGAGGCTCAGCAACTCAACAGCTGAAATCAGGCTGTTCCTTTGGCCTAGAGCTGCCCATCTCAACCACAAACCCTCTTCACTCTGGAGCACAGATCTTTCCCAGCCCCTTCATGGTGGAGAATGAACCTGCAATATTCCAAATGGAAAGCAGGTGTTCCATCACTGAGCAACCACATTTCCCTAAAAAGATAGTGAAGATTCCAGTCCTTGTGCCTCTTGAGCTAAAGGGCCTATTTATAAGCAGGAAGCTCCAAATCAAACCATTGGTCTATCTTGCTCAGAATTCCTGACATTGACTGGAAGCAACAGTTAAGTTTTTTGGGGAAGGTGTCTCTCAGCCCTGCCTGGAAATGCCAGAGATTAAATCTGGGATTTTCTGCATGCCAAACAGATTCTCTGCCACTGAACTAGGGTCCCCGCTGCCAGAAGGCAAAGTGCAAAAGGTTTACCAACCCCATTTCTTTCGTCTCCTAATTCCATCTAACCTCAAAAGTTAAAGGGACCCCTGACCATTAGGTCCAGACGTGGCCGACTCTGGGGTTGTGGCGCTCATCTCGCTTTATTGGCCGAGGGAGCCGGCGTACTGCTTCTGGGTCATGTGGCCAGCATGACTAAGCCGCTTCTGGCAAACCAGAGCAGCACACGGAAACGCCGTTTACCTTCCCGCCAGAGCAGTACCTATTTATCTACTTGCACTTTGATGTGCTTTCGAACTGCTAGGTTGGCAGGAGCAGGGACCAAGCAACGGGAGCTCACCCCGTTGCGGGGATTCAAACCGCCGACCTTCTGATCGGCAAGTCCTAGGCTCTGGTTTAACCCACAGCACCACCCGCGTCCCCTCATCTAACCTAGGGTTTCCCAAACTTGGGTCTCCAGCTGTTTTTGGACTGCAGCTCCTATCATCCCTAGCTAGCAGGACCAGTGGTCAGGGATGATGGGAATTGTAGTCCAAAAACAGCTGAAGAAACCCTGTTCTGGCAGTTCTGCTACGAATAGCGCTGTTGTTCTTTTTTTTAAAATAAAAATAAAATCCATTTTGGGAAAACCCAAGTATTGTCCTTACACAGAGCAGACCCACCAAAATTAATAAAGTTAGTTATGTCTGTAAACTTCAATGGGTCTCTTCTGAGTAGGGCAAGCATGGCAAACACCACACATCTTGCATAATTCTAAGCTTTTTAGACAGATAAATTTGGGTGAAGCATACATCGTCCTCCTGAGTCCTACAGATGTAGCTGTTTGTTTTGAAGTGGGATTGCATCTGGAAAGGAGGAAATACGCCTTGATCACAGGAAGCTGCCTTATACAGAGTCAGACCTTTGGGTCCATCTAGCTCAGTGCTGTCTACACTGATTGGCAGCAGCTCTCCAGGGTTCTGGGTTCTCTCCCAGCCCTACCTGCAGGTGCTGGGGGTTGAACTTGGGTCCTTGGCTACTGAAACTTGCTCAGCACCTGTTCACTGGGAGCAAAAAGGTAAGTGTCCTATGTCAATTCACATCTTTTTACGAGGAAGACCAACAGCAAATAAAGTAGTCCACGTCCTCCTAATTCACTTACACCAGAGTAAGAGCTTTTAGGGCTAGGGACTTGGAAAGACATGGGTCAAAATTAAAACCCAATGACAGAACGCAAATCAGGATATAGGGACGCTGTCAGCAGCTCCTCAAGGTGACTTTTCTGGACTGTTCCATTGTAGGTAGAATCGGGGGGAGACCTACCTGCATGTAGAAAGTTAGCACATGACAGATTCAACCTAGCATTTTCCTATGTAGCAGGGTTCCCACCCCCGCCCCAGAGCCTGGCATAGTACAATCCAGGAAGTGCTGAGTTGCTCAATTCATCTGAGAGTCCAAAATGGCCATCTTAAGTGCAATCGCAAGGGAAATGCTCACAACAAGCCCAACTCCTTGTTTCAGATATTTTAACATGGTATATTAAGCACGGCCTATGCTGCATCAAGCAGGAAGGCCTCTTACAAGGACTTCTGCAATATTCTAGGGATGAGATGGGGGCAAGGGCCGTAATTTGGTCACCCTTCGGCTATATGATGCACAGCCATAACTCGGGGCCTAGGCACTTGTGGAGGACATGGGAATTCTTCGTGGCACAGCTTGCAAGGGAGGAACTGGATCTTGCCACCCACCTACCTGCGGGCAGGTCACAGTGGGCAGCTACCCGTCAACCGCTTGGTGTCGCAATGGTGTCAGGTGACTGTGGGTAAAGGAACAGGCCACAAAGTGCCAATGATTACCTGCTTGGGGTTGGCGGCTTGCAAAAAAAACCAGGGCACAGCAGAGTTCTGGCAACTGCAAACCCTCCTCTGGCCGAATGACATCTTTACCTCCACCACGTCTCATGTCATCTATTTCGCACGTAGGGCAGCTGGATGTGGCTCAGCTGAGGCCTGGCCCAAACAGCCTCCCAGACCAGAACGGGAGGCCTAGCTATTAAACCACCTGACCCTTGATGCCTTGGAGCAGGGTGAGAGAACCTCAGGAAGCATTTACCTGTGTAGCTCCTCCCATTTTTTGGCTCTGGCTCCGCCCACCGCTGCCAAACACCCCTAGAAGGGAAGGTGGCCCTCAGGCTGAAAAAATAGGTGCCCCACCTTACAGTAGCAGCAACTTTGCTTCCCACAGAAACCTCCAGGCCTCGGGGCTCGATTAAGTGAACTTGCCCCCCACAAGAGTGCTCTTACAGACCTTCCTCACTTCAGAAAATACCGAAGCTTCCCCCCCCCCCGCCACCCCACCTACCTTTCCGAAACCTTACCAAAATAGTTGGGAGCACAACAAATCCAGGTGCAGAGAAAAGGGGCTTTGGGGGAAGGGGGGGTGAAAACACCTTTAAGAAACCTTTTGTCACTAGAACAGAACATGCAAATCAAAACGGATGCTGTGCAGAGAGAAACAAAGACAAGGCAAAACAAGACTTCCCCGGCGTCTGCATTATTCGCTTCCAGTCGCAGAATTCTGCACTATCCGATTCCAGTCGCAGAATTCCGAAACCTGAGAATTCCAAAAGGGAATTCCGCCATCCGTAGGAGGAAGGGGTGGGGAGGAAAACAAACAAGTTGAGTTCGTCGGTCAGCGGAGTCCACCCTGCCACCACGAGGGCAGTCCACGTCCGCAGGCTACACCGTACATACCGGCAAATTGTAACCAAACCCCATTTTCCCTGTGCCTTGAACACTTGGCTTGACGTCGGCAGGCTCAGAGTCCGGGCTGGGGGAGGTCTTTGTGCCTAGGTGCCTGGGATTCTGAGCCGGCCCGTTTTCGGCGTAAGCATCGAGGATGGTCTGTTTCTCCAGCGCCGTGAACTCCAGGGAGAACCGGTGGACCTGAAGGATGTGCCGCTTGATGGTGCTGACTTTAAGGGTCGCCAATGTGCCCCCGCACACCATACACACCAGCCCGTGCCGCTGCTCGTCGTAATCCATCAGGTACTCTACCCGCCAGCGCGGCTGGTAGTTCCGGCGCTGACCCCGCCGGGACGGGGCACCGGCCAGCGAAGACGCAGCCTCCGAGGATTGCTGAGAGGGAGCTAGTCTTCCTGCTGCGGGGGCCTCTTCCTCATCTTCTTCCTCTCCTGCAGGCATTGTCCCGCCCTCTTGAGATTCCTCAGGGGACAAAGGAGGGTTGCAAGCCTGCTGAGATTCCACTGGAGGAACAGAAGAACAACAGCGGGGAGATCACAGTCCAGCCAGGAGTAATCAAATATCTCCGCAACTTAGGACTGTCGTATTTATATATTTATATTTAATTATTATCACTATTACTATTATTAAACCGTATGCTGAACTGTGAAATAAAGTACCTGGGAAACCATGAAGCTGGGAGTCCAAGTGCTGTCTTTTTCCTCCTCCCTCCTCAATCCCTTTTCCTTATGTGCCATTTCTTTTAGCTTTCCTGTTAACAGCCCTGCTACTATACTGCCCTCCGTGAAAGAGCCCCACCCATTTTTTATGATAATCTAACCCAGGCATAGGCAAACTTGGCCCTCCAGATGTTTTGGAACTACAATTCCCATTATCCCTGACCACTAGTCCTGTTAGCTAGGGATGATGGGAGTTATAGTCCCAAAACATCTGGAGGGCTTAGTTTGCCTATCTAACCCATTTTTTATTGTTATCTCAGAGGAAGCATATTCACGCAGAAATTGGGGAGTAGGATCCAGAGGAGGGACTGTACAGCTTCAGTCTGCAGGCACACAAGCACATTTTGAATGTTTTCCCCTGGCACGTCAAGGAACAGCTGGGATAGCTCAGTCAGCAGAGCATAGAGCTCTTAATCTCAGGGTCGTGGGTTTGAGCCCCACAATGGGGAGGGGGGATTCCTGCATTGCAGGGGGAGCACTAGATGACCCTTGTGATCTCTTCCAATTCTCCAGCCTGAAATCTCCACGTAGTCACAATGAGGCCTGCACCAGGTGGTGTGTTGTTCGATAAGAGATTGAGTGTTTGGGGGCGGGAGGCTCGTTTAATTTCATTGCACACAGGTTGTGCAATGCCAATAAATAATAGATAATAATAATATTTTTTATTTATACCCTGCCCTTCCCGGTTCAAAAACTGGGCTCAGGGCGGCTAGCAACAAATTTAAAACACTTAATTGTAAAAGCAGCATAAAATACAGTATAAAAACATGAGTAACAATAAAATTCAAAGTTCAGAAATCAATTTAGGGGAAATCCATCTAATAAGCATTAGATAATCACCAGGGCTAGCTGGCTAAAAAATAATAATAAAGGTATTATTATTATTATTATTATTATTATTATTATTATTATTATACCAGGAGCAAAATGCACCTGGAGGATTTCAAACACCGCCTGCCCCTTACCTTTGTCTGCCTCGCCGTCTGTTTCGGGCAAGGAGTCTTCTGCGTCCGCCAGGCGGGCCACCTTCTGGTTCCACTCCTCCACGATGAGGGCCTTGACATGGTGGCTCAGCTGGGTGGAGTCCGGGTGCTTCTGCTGAATGTGCCTCTTGATGGTGCTCATCTTGAGCGTGGCCAAGGAGCTCCCGCACACCATGCACACCAGGCCGTGGCGCGACCCGTTGTAGTCCATCAAGTACTCCACCCGCCAGTGCTCCTGGAAGTAGCGGCGGTGGTCCCTCCCCCGGGCCGGGGCGGGAAGGCCGCTCTCTTCCGAGTCCCAAGCACCGGCCTCCTCAGAGCCGTCCTCGCCAGCAGGCTGGTCTGGAGACGTGGGGGGGTCCACCTCCTTCTTGGTCAGGTCCTGAGGGGACAGCTCAGACTCTGCCTCTGGGTGGATCCAGGAAGGAGTGGGAAAGGGGGGGGGGACAAGAGAAGAGGACGGATTTAATTACAAAAAGGTCCTGCTTACCAAACACACAGTGTTGCCTGCAAATGGATCGTTAGCCGAGCGTTTGCATAAGGAGTCAACGATTTCCATTGAGTCCTGTGGGGAAATTTCCAATTTTGATTCCCCCCCCCCCTAATTTTTGAAAAATTCTAATTTTGAATGTTGACCTCCCACTGAAAAACAGAAAAAATGTTCTCTGGTTTGTCTGAACACTCCCCCTCACTCACTCACTTCATTGCTCCACCAACCAGCAAACGGCAAGCAAGGAAATAGAAGATGCTCTCTGTTCAAGTATCTGAATCTGTGATGTGTCTAGCGACGTTTGGGTAGCCATTCCTCATGTTTGGACAGGTGAATGCTCACTGTTTCTTGTCCGTAAAGCAGAATCTGCGCGTAGTACTGCCAAGGTTCTTGTCTTGCCCTCTATATGTGCCTCACTTTGCATCCTCTGCTCTGAGCCAATTCATCCGCACTAACGACCACCCCTTTGTAGTTCTGGGAAGTGTGACATGTTATGGGTGCTAAGATTTGTTAGGAGACCCTTATTCCTCTCACAGTGCTACAATTTGCAGAATTCCCCAGGAAGAGACGGAAAGTGTAGCTCTGTGACAAGGGGGTTCACTCAGTAACTCTCAGCACCTTTAGCAAACTATAACTCCCAGGATTTTGGGGAGGAGAAGCCATGGCTGTTTAAAGCGGCATGATACTGCTTTAAAATGTATAGTACAGATAGCGAAGACAATACCGAGCTAGATGCACTAAAGGTTCAAGGCAGCACAAGTCAGTTTGTTTCCTACTCGCAAGCCATCCCCGTTTTGAGGACACTCCATTCCGCACGCCTATCTTTGATTTTCCGGGTTTTGCCACTCACCAGGATTCTGTGCCCACTGAGCATGCTCAGCCCGCACTCACTTATCTGTTTTGTACTTGCGCAACTCTTGGTTCCGCTCTCCCTCCCACAAGAGACTGCTGGATGCCTCACTTTCTGGTTACACAAGGATTTGGAGGAATGAGCTTCCTGTATGCACCTGCTGTTTGCCCCCCCCCCCCGACCATTGGCTGCGGCTACTGGGAGCTGGAGTTCTGCCCCATACGGACAATGCCAGATTCCCTTATCCTTGGTCACTAGCATGTATCCGGCTTTCCTTCAAGAAGAAGCTACAGATAGGAGCTCCTTGATTTTAAGTATAGTGCCTGACTCAGAGAAGCAACACAGCAGGCCCAAAACCTATGCGGGACTTACGCTCCAGGGATCCATGAGCAGATACAAAATCATGCAAAGTCAGGAAGATACCTGGAACCTCCCCTCTGTACAACCAATCCTACCTTCCTGGACTCTGGGAAGGGGAAGGTCATTTGAGACCTCAGGAATGCTCTGGGGGGGTCCACACCCTTCCTGAGGGTTCAAGCAGCCTTCCCAGAGCCTGGGAATCAAGGCTGATGGCTTTAAAACTATTTCCACGGCAGGAAAAACTGGCGCAGAAAGGGATTTCCAAGCCCTCTGCCTTGCTTACTGGGCTCTGCGAAGGTCACGCGAAATCCCGTGTGGCCTTCGCGAGGTCTCGGACAGCCTCTTCCACCAGTTTCTTCACCCTCCACATTCTCCATTTACAGTGGTACCTTGGCAGTCGAATGGAATCTGTTCTGGAAGTCCGTTCGACTTCTAAAATGTTTGGAAACCAAGGTGTGGCTTCCGATTGGCTGCAGGAAGCTCCTGCAGCCAATTGGAAGCCGTGTTGGATATTTGGGTTCCAAAGAACGTTCGCAAACCGGAGCACTCACTTCCAGGTTTGCAGCATTTAGGAGCCCAAATGTTCAAGTCGCAAGGCGTCCGTCAACCAAGGCACGGACTGTATTTATTTACTTTCCTGCCGCCTGCACAATCATGTCATTTGCAGGCCTGCTGAAATATCGTTCTAATTCCGCTGCTCAGCTTCCAGCCCTCCCCTCCCGCCCTCTGCCCACTTCCTGCCTCACCCACTGGTGCCTCTCCTGTGCCCTCGGCTGGCGGCACCACGGCCCGGGCGTTCCAAGTCTCCAGGATGCTGGCCTTCTCGGCGGGGCTGAAGCCAAGCGAGCTGGGATGGGCGTCCATGACGTGCCTCTTGATGTCGTCCAAGTTGAGGCTGGGCAGCGAGGAGCCGCACATCATGCAAAAGAGGCGGTTGCCCTGAGGGTCGTAGTCCATCAGAAACTCAGACTGGAACCAGCTCTGCAGGGACTCTTTCAGGTAGCGCTCCAAGTTCTGCTCTTCCCCTCCCGGAGAGGCTTTCAAGGCCAGGCCGGACGGCCGTCGCCCCCCACGAGAGGAGAGGGGTCCTGGGCCACGGCGCCTCCTGCGGCTGCTACTCAGCGGAAATTCTCCACCTGTACAGAAGCAAGGCAGGTGGAGAGCAGGTGAACCTTCTTCTCTGCTTTTCGGAATCTAATTTCGTCAGTGATGATGAACATTACTAAATAAACTGTTGTCTGCTGTCCAAAATTAATGTTAATGATATCTACAATGTAGATAAAGTGTCAGAAGAATTGGTCTTATATTTCACATTTTCACATGTGAAATGTGAATTTACGAATATCAATATGTAAAGATTTCATATATGCATTGCAATATTAATAATTAATTAATTAATTAATTAATTAAGAAAAGAAAAAAAGAATGAGTCTTATATATATGATTGTGGCAGCTCGAATAGTAATTGAAACTCAGGGGGGAAACAGCCCAAAATATTACACTAAACACTTGGTACCACCCACTCTGGAATACAGCTATAATGGAAAAAATCACACATAATTTGAGATTTTGACAAGCCTAGAACCTCCAGACATATGATTTGGCATTCCTTTATGACATATACAAGGGAACCATCATTTTCAAGACAACCCCCGTCACCACCTTGGCAAATCTGGAACTATGATAATCAGATCACGACAATATTTACTTGGGCTTTGTTTTTTAACCCACGTCCAATTGCACTTATTCTACATGCCTGTTTTATTGTTTTGCTTTTCATCTTTTATATAAAATTAAATTAAAAATCTTCACAAAAAGATAAAAATAAAACCTCCTTATCTGCTTGGGATGGCCACTTAACGTATTATTTTTATAAAAAGGAAGGATGAAAGGAATATCCAACTGTAAAAAAAGTTGCATGGGTCCCCAGGGAGGGAAAACAGAGATCATCTTGTCTTTCATCCACAAGGTTCAATTCCCAATGGCTTCCTCAGGCAGGGCTGGCAAAGATTCCCTGTCTGAAAACCTAGAAAGCTGTTGCCAGTCAGTGCAGAAAGGGAAACTGGCAGGTGTAGCCAACACAGAAGTGAACCCAGTTAGCAAGTGGGCGTGGCTTGGGGAAATGACCTCACTGACCAAATCAGAACCAACCCACCCCTGGGAGGCCAGGATTGGCCCACAGGCTGGAGGCTTGTGATGTAAACAATACTGAGCTAGAAAGAGGCGACGGCCTGACTTAGCACAAAACCTTTGCTGTTGGACTTCAACTCCTATCATCTCTGACAACTCGGTAAGATGGCTGGGAATGATGGGCGTCAAACAGCATTTGGGGGACACATTTATATCCTGGGTCTCCACAGTGCAAGTCCAACCCTCTCACTGTGTTAAGCAATTTAGTTGTCAGGATTATCTATATCAAAGTATCATCGATACATGAAGTTGCGGGCAGGAATTGAAATATAAGCAGTGGATTACTGAAAGAACTAAGGATAGCAAAGTTTAGATAATAAAAACACATGTACTGTAAAACAGCTTAGAAAATGAAGTGGAAAACAAACATCAGGAAGGGGGGGCGGGAAGTCAAAAAGAAATCTATGTTGATTTTGGGGGGGGGATATGATGATAAATGTTTTGGAATATTTTTGGAGATTTAATAAAAATTTTGTGCCTCATATCTGAAGTTCAACACACACTAGAAACATAACTCTCTCTCTCTTTTTTAATGAAACCTATATAAAAAATTAGTTGTCAGGTTTTTTTTGAAAGTTTTATCATCTGTTCAAGTAACAATTTTTATGGCCAAAAAATAAATATAGTCATTGAAGAAAAATTACCACTATGGAAGAAAAATATACAATTTCTAACAATATTAAAAAAGGGGGGTGGGTTTAGACCAACAAAGGCATCGTAAATATATGATTTTTGACATGACTGAGAATCGTAGAGTCAGGGATGGAGAACTTTAAAGCGTTAAGATCGGGATGTGGAAAATATGAAAACAATGAGAGGACTGAAGATTTGGAGATATGCTTCAGAGGTCTATGGGGAGCCGAGAAAAAATAATAATTAAAATTTGGATAACAATTTGGTATTTTTTATTTTAGCTTTTTGTTTTTAATTAGATTATGATGTGGACATGTTGACTGGCTGTCTTTATTGGAAAATCAATAAAAATGATTTAAAAAACCCCAGAGGATAAGGCTATCCGTGGCTACGATTAAGATGATCCACAAACCAGCGAACTTAGGGCCCCCCTACCGTGGCCCCCCTCCTGAGCCTCGGGCGCGTTGGGGTGCTCTCTGGCTCCGTCGCTCTCTGCCTCGAGGCCCAGGTGGGCGTCCCAGCTGTTCATGATGACCTCCTTCTCGTGGGCGCTCCAGGCCAGGGAGTAGGGGTGCTTCTGGCGGATGTGCCTTTTGATGGTGCTGAGCTTGAGGGTGGCCAGGGAGCTGCCGCAGACCATGCAAATCATGCCATGCCGGGCGGCGTTGAAGTCCATCAGGTACTCTGCCCTCCAGTGTTCATGGTAGTAGCGCCGGTGGTCGCGCCCGGGGATGCGGCTCTTGCCGGGTCTCGACGCCCGCTCCTCACAGTGATCCGAGTACTTGCGCCCTCCGGAGAGGAGGGCAGAGGGGTCCTTGACGGCGGTCCCTCGCACGAGGCCATTCCCAGAGGGCCGCAGGGCGTGTCCGGAGCGCAGCTCGCCGCTGCTTTGCGAATCAGCCGCCTCTTCTGGGAACAGCGACTCTTCTGGGGAGACACAAACACTCGCCTTCAATAATAGTAATAATAATAATGAGTGGAGCCTATGACAGAACCTCTTCCTATTTGGCATTTTAAAAAAAGAATTAAAGAGCTGCTGAGAGTAAGGGTGGTGGTGCTGGTTAGGATTAGCACAACAGATTAAAAACACAGATAGGTCCCCGGCTGCAAGGAGGATACAGTGTACAGTAGTACCTCGGGTTAAGAACTTAATTCATTCTGGAGGTCCGTTCTTAACCTGAAACTGTTCCTAACCTGAGGTACCACTTTAGCTAATGGGGCCTCCTGCTGCCGCCGCGCCGCCGGAGCACGATTTCTGTTCTCATCCTGAAGCAAAGTTCTTAACCCGAGGTACTATTTCTGGGTTAACGGAGTCTGTAACCTGAAGCATCTGTAACCTGAAGCGTCTGTAACCCGAGGTATGACTGTAACTGTTTTGACAGAGGGCAAAACAATGGTTGGGGCAGGGGCGGTGGTGCAAGACTTGCTGGCCAGGAAGCAAAGGTGTTGTGTCACTTTGTGAAAGCAAGGTTGAAGTAGTGGGACCATAGGGTTGGAAGGGGCACCAGGGTCATCTAGTCCAACCCCATGCAAAGCAGGAGTAACAGACGTTACAGGGGTACAGAGGAAAAGAGAGGGGTGCTGTATACGACATTGGAAGGGGCTGGTTTCAAATGGGCCGCAGGACCTGTCAAAGAGACAAGCCCACAAAACCACACCTGGGGGCTGGGGGCTGAGAGGGGTTTGTCCAAATTGGGGGGTGGGGGAGGGGTTTCCCAAAAGGAGGAGCCAAACTCCCCCTAAGTCTTCCTGATCTTCAAGGGTGAGGACACACACACACACCCCTTCAGGGAGAGAGGGCTTCCCCCCCTTTCCACGTCATTTGATTCTTGGCAGCTCGGGTTCCTTTTGTGCTCAATCCCTCGTCGCTATTTTTTTTGAATGGGAGAGGCAGGAATCCGTCCAGGGCTGAAGTGCCCAGGAAGATGGAGGAAGGCGGGGAGGGGGGGATCTTAAAGGGGCCATAGCTCTTCCTCCACCCGCCCCCCCCCCACCGACTTTCTTCTCCCTAACCAGCTGCGCAAACTTGCAACACCCCCCACAAGAAACACACCCCTGCCAACACCGACCAGGTATTTTTTTCCCGGGGGGTGCCACTCTCCAACTCACACACGACCAGCAGGTGGCGTGGAAAAGAGGTGGGGGGCGCGCGCATATATTTTTCCCCTTCCCAAAGAGGGGGCCTTTTGTACTCACCTGGATCCCGGGGCTCGAGCTTGATGCAAAGGCTGGGGGGCTCCTCCATGCTTGGCTCCCTCCCTCCCTGCCTAGGGATTCATCTCCACCCCCCACCTCGATGCACACAAATAACCTTCCCGGCTTCGCTGTGGATTCTCTCGGATCCGTTGCAATATTCCCTCCTTCCCCCCAACCCCGATTTCTTAAAATAAAAATATATATGGATAAATGGCAATTTTTCTCCCCCCCCACCGCTTTTAATCGACTTGCATCAAGGCTCCGTTTCCACGGCCGAAAAAGAAGAAGAAGCAGAGCCAGGCAGGCTCCGGTTAGCAGGGTGGGGATGCCTTTCCCCCCGGGGCCCCTGGGGCTCCTTTAAGGGCTCCTGGGTAAATTTAAAGGGGACGTGCTCTATTTTTGCAGCTGAGGGGGGAGGGAAGAGAGAAAAAGAGGGGAGGGGAGGAGAGGGGGTGATTCACTGGACACCCCCTCCCCCAAAAAAAAGTGTCTCAAAGCATCCCTAACCCGCTTCTTCCTCGTTGTATTGTTTTGTCCCCTAAGCTATATGTGTTGTGACGTGGGGTTTGACTCAATACACAACAATATATATATCCATATATCCGTATTTAAGGTGTATTTTTTAAAAGCCTACATAACCAGGTCCCTAACGCGGCCCCCTGCTGCTGGCGCAAGGGGATGAGAGATTTTGGAAAGTGGGGGGAGGGGGAAATTGGGGGAATGAGAGGAAGGGGCTTCCCCGTGGCCCCTGGCCCTTCAAACAAGCCTTCCGTTCAATTCGATTGTTTTTTAGCTGTTGCAGGTTCTCTTATACATCATGCATTTGAAGCACATTATTCCGACCACCAAAGAATCCTGGGAACTGTAGTTCACCCCGTCCCCCCCACGGAGCTACAGTTCCCAGCGCCCTTAACAAACTACAGCTCGTGTGTGTGAATACGCTTTAAAACGAAAAGCATATTTCCCCCCCAACAACAAATCCTGGGAACTGTAGCTTTTTAAAAGTGCTGGGAATTTTTTGGCCCTATAAGGGGCAAACTACAGTTCTCAGATTTGTTTGTGAGGAAGTCATGTGCTTTAAATGTATCCTCAATATCCCTAATGCACATTCTAGAGAGGAATGCACAAGCAGGTAAATAGGTCAATACATCATGGAGATTCCTAGATGCAGTTTTGGAGAGTTACCATTCTCCGCCCTTCTGACACATCTCTCTGTGGCAGGTGTAAAATATGCAGAAATCCAACAGGTGATGCACTGCTACGAAAAGCTTCCCTTGTTGCATTTCTGCCTACCTGGCAGGGTTCAAAGACATGGGAGCTTAGCTAGGAACAACAAATGTGGAGAGATCAGCCCTCTTTGGGGCCCATATTTTCAGTATGTTGCAGGGCAGAGATGAGGAACCTGTGGCCCTACAGATTCCGTAGAACTACAGTTCCTCTCATCCCTAAGCACTGGTAATGCTGGCTGGGGCTGATGGGAGCTGGAGTCCAGCAAAATCCAGAGGGCCACAGACGCTCTATCCTAGCTGTAAGGGATAGATAGAGGACTGATCAACACAATCAAAGGGGTTTTGGGGTTACCAACTGACCAGAAGGGGAAAACAGGCACAGCCTGCTCTTGCACTGTTAGCAACAGTTTTATTTGCAGAAGTCCTCAGATGACCACTGATTTGCTGCACAGAGATCAGCAGCGTTATTGGCTAATGCGTGCCGGCTGAGCACAGGCGCAGGGGACAGTAAATAAGTTGGCAACTTTAATGGGGTTGATAGGGAGCTGAAGAAGCTTGAGGCAGAAGATGCAATAAGCTTATTGATTTTTTTAACAGAGCTTGTGTCATTTGATTGTAAGTAGACTCTCTAAGGTGGCTTGCGAAAACATATCAATAAAAGACAAAGTTAAAAACTGGTATTTTAAAAAATTCAAAATTTTATTAAAACCAACAAGCTAAAAACAGTTTAAAACACTAACTCAACACATCAGTTCATCCCTGTTTAGGTAGATTGAGTTTGGAGCTGAGCATGGTTGAAGAGAGACGTGGTTTGCTTTTGCTGAAAGACTTGCAGGAAAACCACATTTACAAGCTGCCCATTGGGTTGTGTGAACTATCGAGTTTGGGTCTGGGTTGTCAGTTTTCACCTGGCAAGATTCCTGTGCCTACAAGCGTGGCTAAGCTGTGACCCTTCAGGTATAGACTCCAATGCCCATCACCCCTGACTATTGGCTTGGCCCGCAGTGGCTGATGGGAGTTGGAGTCTAGCAACATTTGGAAGGCAGCCTCCCCTATCCTAGGGTATGAATTCAACCAGTGGCGTAGCGTGGGTTGTCAGCACCCGGGGCAAGGCAAGTAATTTGCGCCCCCTAACCCGTGGATTTTAGCAGGGGCAGAGAGCTGCGAGTGCGAGCGCCCCCCCCCAGATGTTGCGCCCGGTGCAGCCGGCCCCCCCTGCACCCCCCACGCTACGCCACTGAATTCAACAGGTATGGTCAGGATTGGTAGCAACTGGTAAGCTTTATTTGTTGCACTTCTGGCCATTGTGTCGCTGTAAATGGAGACAAATGTGACATTTAAGTTGTTGTCATTATTATTATTTTCCAATCTAGTGCCATCGGTGTGCTCAGCAGTTGACAAAGTTCAAGAATAGCATTTCCTCCAGTATATCCCCTTAGGCTTAAATTACATTGGCATCTGGGTTCTAAGGGCCAAGCTTTACACAGCAGATTGCAAAGCTGTAGGAGGGGCCAAATTTGGCCCAGCGCACCACGAAGGGCAAAAACATACGAGCTCTGCTGGATCAGGTGAAAGGCCTATCTAGTCCAGCATTTTCACAATTTATCTAGGAAATGGTGACTATCACTACATCTTGCAGTAGCAAATTCCACAATTTAACTTGGTGCTGAGTGGAGAAGTCGTTACTTTTCCCAGTCATGAATTTTCCAACATTTGGCTGAACTGGATGTCCACGAGTTCTAGGACTCAGCTGTACAGCTGCAAATATAACATTTTAAGTGTATTTTAAGTGCATTATACAAATGTGACACTAGATGGCGATGGTGAGCTAGTGGCAAATCCAATATATACAGTATTTTGAAAATGTTTTTTTAAAAAAGCATTTTCACATTGTTTTTATGTGTGTGTAGATTCCACCCTAGTGTCATGAGAGAGGGAGAAAAACATTTCTCTGTCACTTTCTCCACATAATGCATGATTTTATAAACTGTGATCATGTCTCCCCTAAAAAGTCTCAATGTTGTAACCTTTCCTCACAAGGAAGTTGTGGGGTGGGCTGGAGGAAATTGCATTCAAACATAACTGCACATGAGTGCTAGTTGGCCCCCAAAGGGGTTAAGATCACAGAGTTCTCTTCTCAGACTCAGACTCCGTGAGGGAGAATGTGTAGCTGCTTCTTTTCTTTTCTCTCATTCTCTTTGCACCATGTAAACGACCAGGACGGACATGCCTGAACTTTCTCCAAGCTCAGGGCATGCATGTTTGAAACTACAGTGGTACCTCGGTTTACGAACTTAATCCATTCCAGAAGTCCGTTCTTAAACAGAAACCGTTCTTAAACCGAGGTGCGCTTTCCCTAATGAGGCCTCCCACCACCAGTAACCTTCCACCATTCGGCTTCCGTTCATAGACCGAGGTAAAGTTCGCAAACCGGGACACTACTTCCGGTTTTGCGGAGTTCGTAAACCGAATAGTTCGTACACAGGACTGTTCCTAAACTGAGGTACCACTGTACATTCTGTATTTTGTTAGTTGTGTTCTCCTTACTGCTGCATGGAACAACTCATGAATCAGACCTTTAGATTTAGTAAGTAAAGCATTTTAAACTTACTTAATAGTGTGTGTGGTCTGTTCATTGCAAGAATGGTAGAGAGAGGGGCAAAGAGCTTTAAAGCAGACAATATGGGTCTAACAGTCCATATTCCCCCACTTTACTGTTTTTAACTTTGCTGGGGGCTCTCTCCTGCTGGAGAGTGTGCAAAGCCCCGTGTTTTGAATCTAGGCATCCAGCTGATTCTTTTGTTAATTACACACACAAGGGTCAAATCTATTTTCTTCCCACATGGGGTGGGGAGCTCTATCAATTTGCTTAGGCAATTGGGCAGCAGGCAATTCTTTCAGCCTCAGCCTGCACAGTCTGCTATGTAAGGGTTATAATACTGTCCTACCTTATAAGGTTCTTGTAAGGCTTAGCGAGACAATATGGGTGTTCTGTTTGTTTCAGAGCTTTGTGGCACTCCAAAGTTTTGCTGTTTCCCCTCATTATAACTTGATTTGTAATAAGTAAGAAAACAGGAGGTGGAGAAAGGGGCCTGAAGTTTACTCAGATTCCTAAACTGTTGTCGCCAAAAGGACAAAGAGCCTTGAAACACCTTAAAGATGCCACAAGACTCCTTGTTGTTTTCCAGATGATCGGATCATTGAAGAACTTTCCCTGAAAAGAAAGCTAAGCTAAAGCATTTGGGGCGTTTACAGGGCAGTGGTGGTAAACCAAGATATGACTTGATAGACGTTTGTAACACTATACAGAAGAAAATGGATAGTCCATCTATTCTTCCTGTCCCGCAATGATTAGAAAGGGGGGGTATCCTCTCACAAAACTGACTGGGAGCTAGTGGAGAAGAAGTCAAGGAAGCAGACATATGGAACTCAACACTACAATGTGTTGTGAGGGCCGGCCACTAGGTCCGATGGCTTCCTACCCATGGAGGAAGGGAGCTAGAGGAAGAGCTATATTACTAATGACAGCTAAACTGAGCCTTCAAAGCCAGTGGCAGTCTACCTTCAAATGTCAGTCTATCTCAGGGATGCTGGCAGGGAGGCATCAGGAGAAGACTTGTGAGGTTTTGTTACAGGCATCTCTGGTTGGCACTTATTTGGAAGCAGGAAGAGTTGGACTTTTCGTTTTCCATAGGCTCTCTGATCCCTTTCTGCAGGCTCTAACTCGCCTTTGTCACTCCCTTATATTTCCTGCAACTCCACCCCTTCCCCTCCAGGGGGCGACCTTTCTCGGACTCGCTAGCCGCCCGCCTCTATGCTCCCGGTCTGTCCGCTGCGCCGAGTGGTCTATAACCTGCGGAGGGGCGGAGAAGAGAAGAGAATGCCGCGCTGGCCATTGGATTCGCTGGGTAGCGAAGGCAACGCAGATCTAAGAAAATAGAGACATATACGCTGTCGTCGCGCTCCCGAGCGAGAACTTCCGGCCTGAAAGCGGACTGTTCCTTTCCTTACCGGACGCAACTTCCGATGCGGAACATAGAGATAAGAAAACAGCCGCCGGGGCGAGGTATCTATGGCGGCGTTCCCTTTCCTGCCGGAAGTTATGGCTATCTCTGACAACAGAGCGGAGGAGGGAAAGGTCCTTCGGACAATGAAACCATAGAGTGGGAGCGGGGAGGAGAGGCCGCTCTGCCTCGCTGGGAGCCGGAGAGCTCTATGCTGCGTGGCGGGGGCTCCAACGGAAGAGCTCGGGAGGCCTGGAGCAGCTGAGCGGCCAGGTGGGGAGAGAGGCCCGCTGGGTAGGTAGGGGCGGGGGCCAAGGCGCCGGGGGGGGGAGAGGTGCTACCGGTCCCTAAATATGAGAGGGGGGGCTGCTGTCTTACCTCACCTGGGGTGGGGGAGGGGCTGGTGGCCCCCACAACTGGGGAGCTGTTCACCCCCCCCCATAGACGTTGCTGGTGGGGGTTTTTCTTCCCCTATAAATATAGCTAGGATGGAGCTGACGTCCTCCATACCTGGGGTGGTGTCCCCCCAAAAACACAGCGGGGGTGGGAAGGGTTGGTGGCCCCTCAGCTGTGGTAGTATTTCTCCCTCAGTTGTGGGGTCACCTCAGTTATGGTGGTATTTCTCCTCCCACACACCTAGGGTGGCCCCACAACTGGGGTGCTGCTCCCCCCCATAAACACAGCTGGGTTGGGGGCAAGGGCTGACGTCTCCCCACACCAGCAGCACAATGGGTTGGGGGAAGGGCTGTGGGTCCCTCCACAGCTGGGTTGGCACATCTGGAAGAGGGAGAGGCTGGTGTTCCCTACCCATCCTCCGCCATAAACGTATCTGTGGTGGGTTGATGTGCTCATTGCGTGCATGCATACGCAGAGATGGTCACCACCAGGTGGGATGGGAGAAGGCCTGGTGTCTCCCCCCCCCCGAAAAACACCTGGGGTGGTGTTTGGTTGGGGGGGGAGAACTTATTTTTCTTCTTGCAGTTTAATGGTATTACAAGGTCACTTTTGTTGTCCCCCCCCCCAACAGCTGCTTAGGTTGAAGGGGAAGGACTGGCAAAGAGCTAGGTTAGGATCAAGTCACAAGGGCAAGTGCCTGGTAGGCATATTCAGTGGGGTTGCCTGGCTCAAGAAGGGTGAGCATGTGGGGAGGTCAGAAGAATATTAATGGGGGGGGAGAGAGGGAGCCTATGGCATGGCTAGTAGTGGGAAGGGGGTTTAGGGCATAGCTGTCAACGTTTCCCTTTTTTTTAAGGGAAATTTCCTTATTCTGAATAGGATTCCTCGCAAGAAAAGGGGAAAGTTGACAGCTATGGTTTAGTGTGTTAGGGTTGTATCCAGCTAAGTCCTACTCAGAGCAGACCCACTGAAATGAACATCCAGGTCCATTCATTTCCATGGGTCTACTCTGAACATTGGAGACAACCCATGGACTCTTAAGGGAGGAGATGTGAAAATGGAGCCCCTTGTGCTGAGTGGATGGGGGTGATACCTGGGATTGGGGAGGCCTGAGTTTCAGGAAGGAATCAAAATGGTACAGCAGGGAGATCTGGGTGGTGGTGGAGGGAAATGGACCTTTGCCTCTTTTGGGGAGATAATGGGGAAGATTGTAATTCAGAAGAAGGTACTATGGATTAATCCAAGGAGGAGAGTATGGGGTGCATCTGCAAAAGATGGGGGCATTTTACCTCTTTTAAGATGCAGATGAGACACACAAAGACCCTGAAAAGAGTATTACCCTGTGGGGATGGTGTGGGGCAGGATGTAGAGGGAGAACAGAGGAGAAATCTGTGAGTAGAGGCAAGGTAGAGAAGGGTGGGAGGTCTAGAAGGAGAAGTCAGGCTGGCTGGCTGGCTAGCTAGCTAGCTGAGATCCAGGAACGAATTAAAATGGTGCCTGGTGATGGGGAAGGAGGTGCAAAATTGTTTTATTGTATTTTTAATAATTTGTTGTAAGCTGCCCAGAGTGGGGTACAAATAATGAATTTTTGATGATGATGATGATGATGATGATGATGATAATGATACACTTTGGGGTAGAAGGTTCAGAACAGGGAGATGCAACAATGCAAATTGTTTGGTGGGAGAAATGAGATTCTGGAGAAATAAAGACTTGAAGGAAAGTGATATTATTTCATAATTATTATCACTTTATTCGCAGGCCACCTTTCCCCCCACCCCTCCCAAAATGATGCTCAAAGTGGCTTATAACAATGAAATCAGAATAGATAATTTCATAATAAAAGTAATAGTTGTGGGTTTGCTTTAGAGGATGGAGGAGATTTAAGGTCCTGGTGGGAGTAATTGCGGACATGGCAAAAATGTGAACAGGGCCTTGTGGCTTTGGGGAGGGAAGTTAGAATTCCACATTGAGATTGTTTCTTTTTCGGACATGCATTATAATTTAAAGAGGTGGGGATTTGATGTCAGGGCAGAGACCCAGCAGTCAAAGCAAGATAGACAATACTGTACAGTGGTACCCCGCAAGACGAACGCCTCGCAAGACGGAAAACCCGCTAGACGAAAGGGTTTTCTGTTTTGGAGGCGCTTCGCAAAACGAATTTCCCTATGGGCTTGCTTCACAAGACGACAGCCCATAGGGAAATCTCCGGGACAGCGGGGAAGCGCGTCTTCCCCACTGTCCTCGGACCTCCTCCCGCCGCCAGGCTTCGGAAGGCTGCTCCGAAGCCTGGCAGGGGGGCGGAGAGGTTTTTAAAAAACCCCGGGACAGCGGGGGACTTCTCCGCTGTCCGGGGCGATTTTAAAACGCTGCCGTCCCGAGGGAGCAAAGTCTTTTGCCCCTCGCCCGCCTTCAGAAGAGGTCCTGGACCTCTTCTGAAGGCGGGCGGGGGGCGAAAGACTTTGCTCCCGCCTGCCTGCCTTCCCGGGAGAGCGGAGAACGCAGCGCTTCTCCGCTCTCCCGACGGCTTTTGAAGGCAGGCGGGGGGGGGCAAAGACTTTCGCCCCCCGCCCGGCTTCAGAAGAGGTCCAGGACCTCTTCTGAAGGCGGGCGAGGGGCGAAAGACTTTGCTCCCCCGGGACGGCAGCGTTTTAAAATCGCCCCGGACAGCGGAGGACTTCTCCGCTGTCCGGGGCGATTTAAAAGCCCCTGGGAAGGCAGACAGGGGGGACAAAGACTTTTGCCCCCCGCCAGCCTTCAGAAGAGGTCCTGGACCTCTTCTGAAGGCTGGCGGGGGGCGAAAATCTTTGTCCCCCCTGGCTGCCTGCCTTTAAAAGCCCTCCCGGGAGAGCGGAGAAGCGCGCTGCGTTTCTCCGCTCTCCCGGGAAGGCAGGCGGGGGGGGAGCAAAGATTTTCGCCCCCCGCCAGCCTTCAGAAGAGGTCCTGGACCTCTTCTGAAGGCTGGCGTGGGGCAAAAGTCTTTGTCCCCCCTGCCTGCCTTCCCAGGGGCTTTTAAATCGCCCCGGACAGCGGAGAAGTCCTCCGCTGTCCGGGGCAATTTTAAAATGCTGCCGTGGGGGGGGGGGAGCAAAGACTTTCGCCCCCCCCCAGCCTTCAGAAGAGGTCGGGGGACAGATTGTCCCCGGACCTGGTCTGAAGTCGGTTTCCCTAGGAACGCATTAATTGATTTTCAATGCATTCCTATGGGAAACCGTGCATCGCAAGACGAAAAACTCGCAAGAAGAAAAAACTTGCGGAACGAATTAATTTCGTCTTGCGAGGCACCACTGTACATATTCAAACCAGGAAAAAAAGAGATTGGCCCTGAATGTGCAGGAGCAGAGGAGGGGGTGACAAAAGTATTAAACAAACATCCTCCAGGTTGAATGCACTTTGGGCACAGTAAGGCTGCCCACAGGATCCTGGGAACTGTAGCATACTTCTCCCAAAACTACAATTCCCACCATGCTACAATTCCCATGATTCTTTGCGGGAAGCCATGTTCTTTAAATGCATGGAGTGTGTGTTCACAGCCTCCCTCTTCTTTGGAGATGATGGCACTTTCTACATGTGAAGTTTTTCTTAAAGAAAACACAAGTACGTTTCCCCTTGGGTTCTCCTCTTTTCTAGGGAACAAAGACTCTTGTGGCTAATGGATTTACTATTCCCCACTTTTGTTTCCAGAAGAGCGAGCAGCTTTGCTATCACCAGGCAGCACTGAGTGGATTCTAGATCCCAAGCCCTTCCTCTGGTTACGATCCGGATTGACGCCCTGCCACAGGTAGGAAGGGTTTGGAATTCATGTCACATCCCAGTGCATTATGCAGTTCCTTTCGCCCACAGTGTGGCAGTCTCAAAGTATTTGCTTTAAAAGTAACAAAGTTTCTAGTCCTCAAGGTGGTGGGAGGTAAATTTGAACACAGGGTGCCTGTTTGTTTGTTTTTTTAAAAAAATCCTGAACAAGAAAACAAAAGATTGGGGGTAGCAACAACTCAGGGAGCAGGTTTCTTAGGATGTTTTGCACATGTACTCAGCAAAGAGGAAGGGGGTATCCTATATTCCAGCAGGCTGGCAAACTTTATCCTTATGTTCATCCAAATAACACATTAAAATGTACAGTGAACAGCAGAGTGTGCAGTTTGGCTCTGTATGTCTCCCCTGTATGGCCCTCGGATCCCCGCCCGCATCCTGGTTCCCGTGGACTGAAGACAAAGAAGACTTTTGTGAGTGGAAATAAACAAATATAACTGAGGGGAGGAGTGACTATAGCAATGGCCTTCAGGTCCCCAAATAGCTATGTTTCCCACAGCTTGCTCAGAAACTGTATCCCAGAATTGCTTCACGTCATGGTCTGAGTCTGCTTATTTTCTCTTCCCCTTTTTCCTTTTTGGCTTCATCAGCAGGAAGTCAGTAAAGCTCTGTTTCTATGATGAGTTTTGTTTGTTCTTATTTTCGAATGGTTTTTAACAATTTGTTTACGCTGCTTAGAAATTCTGATTCTGTTTGCTTGCTTGCTTGCTTGTTTATAGTCCGCCTTTTCCCCCTGATAGGAAGCAAGGCCCCCATACAGGTGAAAAATAAGAGCCGCTAAAAACAGAAAAAGCAATCACTGAAAAATAATTAAACACTGATAAAATTAAAACTGTATGCATACATAGGATGTACTGAAACCATACCAATAATTACAATAAAAACAGCACAGCACCAGCCCTTTCCTTAGAAGCAGTCAGTTCCCAAACGCCTGTTGGAACAAGAAGTCTTCACCTGCCAGAGGAAGGACAACAAGGAGAGAGCCAGTCTTAATTTCTCTAGGGCAGTGTTTCCCAACCGGTGTTCCGCGGCACACGAGTGTGCCGTGAGACATCGGCTGGTGTGCCGCGAGATGCCTGGAGGGAGGCGGGCGAGTCGGGCGGCGAGAGGCGGGGCGGCGGCGGCGAGGAGAGGCCGCGCCTCCTGCTGCTGCCTGGCGCTCCTCCTCGCAGCCGGCAGCGCTGCCTGGGCGCCTCCGCGCGACTCTGCCTCGCTGGGTTTGGTCTCCCAGCAGAGACGGGTCACACGCGCCCCTCCCTCCCTCCCTCAGCCTGCGCGGAGGGAGAGCCAGAGAGAGGCATCGCTCCTGCGCTCCGAGGCGGATTGAGCGCAGCTGAGAGGAGCTGCCGAGGGAAAAAACTTTCACTTTTGTGCGTCCCTCCCGGCGTGACGCTGCGCGCTGACGTCACGGGGCGGGGCTTTAATGGTGGTGTGCCGCGAGATTTTTTTTCAGTAAACAGGTGTGCCGTTGCCCAAAAACGTTTGGGAAACACTGCTCTAGGGAGGGAGTCCCAATGTCTGGGAGCAGCCACCGAGAATATTTAAATATTAAGTGTTATTTAAATGTCTTAAATAAATAAATAACGACAGAGCCTTCCTATACAGTGGCACCTTGGTTCTTGAACTTAATCCATTCTGGAAGCCCATTTGACACCCGAAACTGTTTGAAAACCAAGCCACAGCTTCCGATTGGCTGCAGGAGCTTCCTGCCCTCAAGCGGAAGCTGTGTCGGATGTTCAGCTTCTGAAAAACTTCACAAACGGGAACACTTACTTCCGGTTTGCGACATTCGGGAGCCGGACGATTTGTTCTGGAGCCAAGCCGTTCAAGAACCAAGGTACCACTGTATTCTTAAAGTGTGTATATGTGTGTATGTGGTTTTTTCTGGCCAGGAGAAAAAGAGATGTGGGAACTGAGTTTGTCAACTTGTAAGTGTTTCTTTCCCTTCTCCATCCACCCCCTCCGCAACCTGAACGGTGCTTCTTATTTTTCTACAGGTGGGCTTTTGTTGTGCCAGCCCCACCGAAACACTCATGGCACTGAAGGCAGAAGCTCCCCTCTTGGACTACCTCAAGGTCTCTTTGAAGTGCAAAACGGAGAAGGAGAAGGAGAAAGTGGCCGCAGGGCATCTGCTCCCCAGCTGCCCCCCAGTCAGGCTGGATGGGCCCCACGCAGATCCCGTGGACAGAGGTGGGGAACGTGCCCCTCTAGAGCGCAGGACAGGGAAAGTCCCTCCCCTCGCATCATCCTAGAAGTCAGGGATGCCCAACGAAGGCCGATGCTTGAGGACAAGCAAAAGGAAATACTTCTTCCCACAGCACATAGCTAAACTGGGAGATTCCCTCCAGCAAGGTGGGGTGGTGGCCACCAACTTAAAAGAGAATTAGGCAAATTCACGGAGGACAAGGCGATCAGTGGCTACCAGCCACAATGGCCATGTTCTCCCTCCACTGTCTGTTGCTGGCCACTACGCGAATTAGGTGCTGGAGGGGCTGCAGGCCTGAACCTGCAGGGCTTTTGTTGGGTTCTTAGGGTGGAAAAGGACCCCCAGCCTTGAGTTAGCCCGTGAAACAATAGTAAGAGCTGTTTGTTGCCATTGGAAAAAGCTTGAGCCAATGAGGCTGACCTAGAAGAGAGGTGTGGAGGTCCTGTGGCTGTTCTCTAGGCAAAAACTAATGCCATTCCTGCTGGTAGGCCACACTGGCTGTGGCTGATGAAAGGTTCATTCCCAGTGCCATCCATGGGGCAGCCAAGGGCTCTGTCTGCCTGCCCAGACTCCAACTCCCATCAGTCTCAGCCAGCATGATCATGGGGGGTGATGGGACTTGTAGTCTGGCAGCGTCTGGAGAGCATCTCTGTTAGAGAAAGGAAGGGGGCAGAGCGCGCGCAAGGAATCAGGGAGATGGGAACTGTCTCCAAGGCTGGCATCAGACCCCTCCTCCATCCCAACGTGCCCCCTTTCTCACCCCCAGGAGAGCGGCTGGTTGTAATCCCGGTGGCCGAGGTTGGCCCAGAAGAGGCAGGCAGCTCCTGGAGTCAGGAGTACCTGATTGCCGAGAGCTCGGGGGGCAGCCAGCCAGTGTGCATGGTGTGCGGCGGCAACCTGAGCGCCTCAGGGCCTGTGGCCGCCCGCAAACACATTCTGGAGCATCACGCCCACTCCTTGGACTTCAGCTTCGAAGAGAAGCGCAACATCCTGGAAGCCTGGAGCGAAGGGGTGGTGCTTCCTGAGCCAGAGCCACAACCTTCCCCTGCAGGTAACACACACCAACACAGATCAGTGTTGTATTAAATGGTGCCATCTCCAGTTGGGTCTGGAAAAGGTTTTGGGTTTTGAGCAAAGTCGCCCTCCGTGTCTGCCTCTTCCATTTCCCCTGTGCCTCCTGGAGAAGGGGCTGGGGGTGTCAGTGCAGTTTGCCATCCTTTGGGGTTCCTTTTCCGGTCAGCAGAGTCGCCCAGAAAGTCTTCCAGAATCCATTTCTTCACCATTCAGCTCTTCTCTTGGCGAACGCCCACGTGGGAATAAACACACCTCCCGTTTTGGTTCTTCTGAATGCATTTATTGTTGAATTAACACTACATCTTGTATAACCACTAGTCTAGTAAAGTAAAGTAAAACTATGTTCAGATAATCATTCTGTCTCGCTCTGCTCTTCAGCCGTCTGGCCAGAGCAACAGCCTCCAATATACCCTCTCTCTCTCTCTCTCTCTCTCCCTGATCCATACCTTGCCTTATAAAGAAACCTGTTGATAAGGGGGAAACTTGTTGCTAAGGGCAGACTTGTTGCTAGGGCAAAATCTTTCAAGAATCATTTCAAGTCATTGTTTAGACTACACTAACAGGATGTTGGCAAACGTTTCAGCGGAAGTGTTTTTCTCTGCTCTTTAGCCGAAAAAGCCAGGGCAGTTTGCAGACAACCAGTGATAAGGTGGAGCCTGCCCACAGGTTTACAGACTTTAAAAAAGACACAGCACAAAAGGAAAAAGGATTGGGAGGGGAAAAGCAAACTCGTGGACTTGTTCTCGCTTACATAGTGTTTCATAAATGTTCTCCCTGGCACGGAGAGGGGAAGCCAGCTCTCTGCAGCTGCTCCTTCTCTGGCCAGTGGACTGGGTCAGGCTGGTCTCCTCCTTGCTGTGATGTTCTTCCTAGAAGGCAGGGGGCGCTGCCTTCCTTAGACCCCCGGGTGGTGGCAGAGGTCCAGGCATGCTGCCTTCCATCTTTGCAGTCCCAGGGCAAAAGTTGAGTGTAGGGATCAAGAGGAGGCCTGATGATGTTGAGGATTGACAGTGAAATAGCACTTGAATTGTGGGTTTTAGAGGCATGTAATGACTACAGGCGTTGGAAGATATTGGCCTTTAGGATATTGGACAATGCAACCAGGAAGTTGTGTATTTATGCATGAAGAATGTATAGAAATGCAATCACTCTGCCTATGTTTGTGCCTGTTAGTCCCTGGGAGAAGCAAACAGCTGGCGAAAGCACTAAGGCCAACCTGGCACCCTCTGGGTGTTTGGAACTACAACTCTCATCAGCCCCAGCCATCCTGACCATGTTGGCTGATGGGAGTTGTAGCTGAGAACACCCAGAGGGCTCTGGGTATGCAAAGGCTGCCCTAGACGATTGCCTATTGACTTAGCCTCTCTCTCTCTCTCTCTCTCAGCTCCACCCTGGATACCAATAATTCCTCCAGGCATTGCCTTGGAGTACCAATTCACATCCATAAGGGCTAGAAACTTGTCTCTTTCCTTTCTCCCTAACCCTAAACGGAAGATGAGATCCTTGAGAGGCCAAGTCCTCTGCCCGCTGCTGCCCATTTCCACTCTTTGCCGTGGAACAAACACGCAGTGCTGTGTGCCGCTTTTGATTCCCCTTTCTGAAACTATCCCCTGCCAGGCGACCCCGGCAAGAGCAAGCAGCCGGCTGAGATAGAGGTGCTCCTCGATTCGGAGGAGCGGCAGCCGGCGAGTCGGAAGCGTGGGCAACTGAGAGCGCGTTGCGGTGAGTGCTGGGGCCGGAGGTGGTGGTGGTGGTCGTCGCTTAGACGGGTCATCGTCATCGTTCTCAGACCCAGGACCCACTCGTAAGAAAAATAGGGAGCTGCCGTCTGGCCTAACACTGCCGACACGGACCGGCAGGGGCTCTCTGGGATTTCAGGCAGGGGGTGCTCTGCAGCCCCACCTGGAGATGCCTCCAGGGAGCTGAACCTGGGCCCTTCTGCAGGAAACATGTGAACTGTGGTCCCTCCCTTAAAAAAACAAAATGAGATTCTAGTCCTCATGGTTCTGAATTTAAACTGGAAAATAGGAAGCTTCCTTATGCCAAGGGGTCTAGCTTAGTGCTGTCTACACTGACTAGCAGCAGCTCTCCAGGGTTTCAATTTGGGGGGCCGGGGGGAGTTTTTTCAGCCCTGCTTGGAGATGCCAGGGATTGAACCTGACACCTTCTGTGTGCAAAGCACCGAGCTATGGCCCTTGATCCCTCAACCAGCAGAACGACACCCCATTCCAATGTTTGTTTGTTTTTAACACACATGTCTGGCTTTAGCCTTCTCTTTCCCAGGTGCCCAGGTGCCAAAGAGGGCGCCTCTGTACCTCTGGCTGTTGGGTAGAAGGAGGAGTCTTTGTGGCTGTAGGCTCGTCTTGTAGGGATAAGAGCCTCATGCGGAAATCCCTTCTTCTGCAAAGTGTTCGGGATGAGCGAAGCCTGGTGGCCACAGGCACTGCCTTCCACTTTAGCGTTGGAGTGGGATATGACTTGACTTCAGCCACCAGTTGAAGACCATGGACCTAACCCGTGGAACTGTTTTTCCTTTATGTATGCTTAGACCCTGAACGGCGATCACAAGGCCAGCAGAGGCGGCACAGCTTGAGCACCATCAAAGACATGAGCAAGCATCCCAGCAAGACCACAGGTTAGCAACAGAGTTGTAAGGCTGCTTTTTAGCGTGGGGGCAGGTTTTTCCCTCCCCAAAGCAATGGAAGCGTCTTCCGTTCAGTCGCCGCCACCGTTCCTTCCCTTTGCGTGCCTAGCTGCCTCCTTGTGTGTTCACCCACAGGCTAGCGCTTCGCAGAGGCGCCAAACATTCGTAGGATCTTATCTGCCTTCCTCCTTGGCTCCTTTGAAAGTCAAGTTTCTAACCTTTAAAGAGGGGCTTGACAGCATGCCGTCAAGGTTTTGGTAATACTGAAAACCTGAATTTGGTAGGTTGAACGAAACCATCCTTCATCCTTGCAAAAGTTGCTGTGTGCCCCTTCCCCAACACAGTCAGAATAATTTGCAAAATAGGTGGGGTGAAAATGTGGGTGGGGGTGCAGAGTAGTTTGACGTGCGTGTCTTATGCAGATTGCAGAATTTGGCTCTGCTTGGCACAGAGTACATACCGGTATGTTTTTTTGTGCTGTTTTGGGAGGGGACAGAATAGGATTGTGTGGGTTACATCCAACTTAAGTTTCTTCCTCAGAGGAGACCCATTTAAACTAATGAACCCAGTGGAGCCATGCCCATCACTTTAAATGGGTCTAACTTTGAGTTTATAGCAGTCACTTTCAGTGGTGGCAGACTCGGGACTCTTCCCAGGCCACTTGCCTCCATGGCCTTGCTTCCACACCCTCCTTGAGTGTTTTTGTCTGGCTGGAATATGTCCTTCAATTCAGATTATGCCTCTAGCCTGCCTGGATGGAGGAGAGAAAGTGGAGCAGTCGCGTGAGGAGTGTGAGTGTGTGTGTAAGCCATCCTACTTGACAAAGGTCCAATATGCTTTGCCCTCTTTCACCTCTGGCCCCTTCCACAACTGGTGCCACTTCCACAAAGCCCCCAGAAGGCTGCCCAGAAGGGAATGCAGCCCTCGGGCTGGAAAAGTTGCCCAATCCTTGGCTTAATTCCTCACCGCCTCTTTTCTTCCCAGGGAAGGAATGGCTCTCCGAATGTGGGGTCCCAGGCTCGGCACCTGCCGAAATCCGTATCTTCACGGACGGCACTTTCCCAGCTGGCTTTGCCTTGAAACTGTACTGCCGGACTCAACCGGGTGAGTAGTGCTTTGGCGGTCATACTTATAAATCTCCCTCCGTTAGGGAAAGGAGAAGGAAGGGGGAAGCAGGTAAAACACATGCACATTGCTGCCGCTGCTGCCCAGGCCCAAACCAGAAGCACGTTCCCTGTCAAATGCAACATCACAGAGCCAGGCCGTCACATGACCTCCCTGAGGAGGTGGAGGCGGAGCCACGGTCGGGCTTGAGGGTTGGTGTCCTGGAGGCTCGGACTTGCACTGACCTCTCCCCACCCTCTGCCTCCCATCCCATCAGCTTCTCTTTTCCCACCCTGGCAACTGGCGGTGGCGGAAGGAACAGGACAGGGTCAGGAAGCCGGGGGGAAAAGCTCCCTCCTTGACTGTTGCAAGTTGGGCACCTAGCAATGACTGGAGGCTGCCCACCCCACCCTTAAAACGGAACACTGGCCACCATGTTCTAACCCCTTAAAGCAGGTCTGGAAGACTCCAACTCCCATCAGCCCCTGCAAGCACGGCCAACGGCTAGGGGTGATTGAGTCCAGCAACATCCCAGTTCCCCTCCCCACCTGCAGAACTAGAGCCAAGGGGTGGAAATAGCAGGGAGCCTGGCTTCCTTGGGAGCTGTTGGTGGTCTTGCCATTGGCTTAAGGAGAGGTGGGACGGCCCTCTGCCTGGAATGTTGCAGATCACTGCTCCTTCCCATTCTGTTATTCTGTTATTCTGTGATTTGGGGGGCATGTTGATGGCACGTGTTCCTACAGATGGCCACAACGTATTGTCGATGTTGTTGTTACAGAACCACCCCAGGACTCTGAAGCAAAGCCAGGCCCAAGGAAGAGAGCAGTGGGTAAGTCTTGCCGCTTGTTCCCAATAAGGAACAGGCGCAAGGGGCCAAAGTGGGTCGGATTTAGGCCCACCCACCACCCACTCTTCAGCTGACTGCCAGGGATGCTAAATCCCGCTCTGGCTGCAAGTGCCTGTTTCCACAGCCAAGGCAAAATTGAACCCATTTTCCTGAGTGACGGCAGCTGAGGGACGGGTAGGTTGGGCTGGCCAAACTGGACCCCCTGCCTGGCCCGGATTGGCCTGCAGGCCAGAAACTCACCACCCCTGTTTTAGCACAAACAAGCGATGTTTCCTGTCTTTGCTGTGTTATGGTTTCCCCCCTGCTAATTGGGAGGCTGAATGTTATCTCCAATCTTGCATGGCTGTGTATCAAAAGTCACCAAAACAAGAGCAACGTCACATCACTGGCTTATTCCCTCCAAGCTCAGCCAAGCCTGAAGCCCGGCTGAAAACTGGACTGGAACTCCTTCCGTCTCCCAAGGCAGGATTTGCACACCAGCATCTCTTCTCTTTCTATATCCCTATTCTCAGCCCTGCCCGCCCCCTGAGCTTTCTGCTGTGCTTGGGGACTTCCCAGGGGCATCTCTGAGGTGTAGGTACTGAGCGCCAACTTGGATGGCTGTAAAAGAGGATTACACAAATTCATGATGCTTAAGGCTATTCATGACTACAAGCCACAGCTGCTCTGCTTTACTTCCAGAGTGGAAGCAGTCAATGAAGGCAGTACATGTCTCCGGGAACCAGCTGCTGGGGATTCACAGAATCACAGAGTTGGAAGGGACCATGAGGGTCATCTAGTCCAACCCCCTGCAATGCAGGAATCTTTTTGCCCAACATGAGGCTGGAACCCACAACCCTGAGATTAAGTCTCGTGCTCTGCCGACTGAGCTAACTGGGTGGATGGAGAGAGCTCTTTTGTCCTCAAGTCCCACTTAGGAGCCTGGATAGCTCAGTTGGTTAGAGCGTGGTGCTGATGATTCCAGGGTCGCAGGTTCGATACCCATATGGAACAGCTGCATATTCCTGCATTTCAGGGGGTTGGACTAGATGATCCCCAGGGTCCCCTCCAACTCTGATTCTGTGATCAGCTTCCCATAATGGGCATCTGGTTGGCCGCCATGAGAATGGGAGGCTGGGCTAGATGGGCAGTCTTTGGCTTGATCCAACTGAGCTCTTTCTTTGCTTTCTAACTGCTCACTTTTAGTTGTGAGAGCAGCTCAGTTGACAGAGCAGGAGACCCTTGAATATCAGGGTTGTGGATTCGAGCCCCACATTGGGGAGAACATTTCTGCATTGCGGAGAGTTGGGCCAGTTGACCCGCCGTGGTCCCTTCCAATTCTACAATTCTGGGATAGGTGGACTGAGCGAACGGCCTGTTGTTGTGCATTTCAGTTTGCCGCCTCTTCCTCCCCAGATCGCAAATGCTCGGTGTCTTTACTTCGGCTCCACTCCACGGATCCTCCTCCCCGCCAGCTCTGCCCACCACGGGACCCTGCCCCTCGCGCCCTGGCCAACGCCCCCGGCAGCAACGCCAAAGATTGCGACGCCAAGCCCCGCCGGCAGCGGGCGGCAGCGGGCAGCGAGGACGCCCCTCTCCTGGCCAAGAGCTTCAACCCCACCTGGCGCGCCCGCTTCCTCGTGGACTTTGACGCCGCGGCCAACCACCTGGTCTGCATGGTGTGCGAGTACCCTCTGCGCCGCGTCTGCCTGGCCACCGTCAAGCAGCACATCCTCCAGTGCCACGCCGAGACCCTCCACCTCCCGCGGGAGGTCCGCCGCACCATCCGTGAAGTCTGGGAGAGCAGGGGCCAGTCCCCCTCTGCGGCCCCCAGGAAATGAAGGGGAGCTTGGCCGTCACCCATCCCACCCCTCCAATATGCCAATGTGGCGACGTAAGTCGTTGGACTGGCCACCCATGGCAGCTGGGGGGTGGGCCGGTGGAAGAAAGTTTAGGCACCCAGTTACTTAGTGGGGTTCATTCTTTCCCCTCTCGGGCTCCCTACCCGGAGGGCGCCTCGTTCTTGTCTCGTTTCGTTACTCAAGCATGTTCGGGGGTCAGCCACGGCCTCTTCTGTCTTTGTGCCTGCCCTCTGTTCCCCACAAGTCCGCCTGATCACTACCACGGAGGATGATGGGAGGAAGGTGAATGTTTTGTGTGTCTGTGTGGCAGGAGAGGGAAATGGCCATTGCTGCCTCGCCTCCAAAGGTTTGGGGGAGACCCTTCACGTGGCAACTACCCCCCCACACACCCCATGTGTTCCCAAAAGTTTGCCTCTCTGTCTCCCCAGAGAGAGCAGGGGTGGTGGAGCGTATCAGGAGGTGGAGCTCTGCCTGACCGGGGATTCCCGCCGCCTAATCGGTTAGTTTCCAAACCAGCGGAACAGGCAAGGGGTGCCTCTGGTTCCCTCCTTGGCAATAATGTTTTCCCCTCTGACACTCCACTGACACTCCAGCTAACAGGGCACAATACTTAGGACCCATGGCAGGGCAGGATGAGGCTTCACACCCTGTTATATGACTTTTAATAGGCACACACCCGAGCGGGGAGGGGGGGCAGCGCCATTGCCCAGCACCTTCCCAGGGATGAGTTACATTAAAGGGAATCCGAGTTGTTGTTATACAAAGGAACAATAAATTATTTTTATGATACCCTCCTGCTCTCTCTCTCTTTCTCTCTCTCTTTCCCCCTCTTTCTGTCTTAATTTTCTTTTCTGTGTTTGGCTGGCATGAAGAACCTAAGAGCAGCCACGCTGGGTCTGGCCAAAAGTGTCCCATCTTCTCTAGCCTCCTCACAGAAGCCAACCAAGCGCCTTCCAATAGGTCAGATTCTTTGTCCCACCTGGTGCTACCTAACCCCTTTTACTGGAGCCAATCCAGGGACCTCTTCCATGCTAAACACAGAATCCTAGAACTGTAGCGCTAGAAGAGATCCAAAGGAACATCTAGTCCATCTCCTTGCAATGTGCTTCTCCCACTGAGTCGGGGCTCCTCCTATCCCTAGGCTATGTTTGTCATGGGGCTTTTGTTTGCCTGCAAAGTGTCCTTTAACCGGGTCGTGCCCCCTGCTTTCCTGGAAGGAAGTGGAAGGGTAGCTGTAGAAACCTCTGACTTACTTGTGTGACCAAGATGTAGTTTGCTATATACAGTGGTACCTCGGGTTGAGGAAATCCCACATTTTATCTTCCCAACAACCCTGCGAGGTTAAGATAAGCTAAGTAATATCAGCCGGCTCTAGGTTACACGATGAGCATTGTCTCTAGGCAGAGCCATTGTGGCTAGCAGCTATGTATAGCCTTGGCTAATCCTCTCTTAAAGCTATCTAAGTTGGCTCCTGTGGGAGACAGTTCCTCAGTCTTTTAACACCAACAGATTGGTCAGAGGCAGATTTCCGTTCAATTCATTTCCTAGCAATTCCCAACATGGAGCTTTCATAGCATCTGCAAGTGCTGGGCTGTCCGCCACAACCCCAATATCCCTTTCCCTGGTCAATCACTGCCAGTTCAGGAAGCGATCAGCATGTATGTGAAATTAGGATTCTTTGGGCACAATGAATATCACTTTTGCAGGTGCTTGCATATTGATGCAGTTCTTGCTAGCTGCCATTAGGAGGTGCCCTTCACTGCAGGAGAGGATGCTAGATCTCAGACAGACTAACCACAGTGTTCTAACTCGGGTCGGCAAGGTTCACTCCAGCGGGCCAGATTATGCGCGCGATTTCCGGCGTCTGTGTCTGCGCAGACACGATTTCCGGTGCCGTGAAAGCAAGTCCCTGCGCCGCGCTATGCCAGTTTAGCGCAGCGCGTGGGGACTCGCTGGGTGGGCAGCTTGGTTCGGTGGTGGCTCGTGGGCCAGTTCTACAACCCCCGTGGGCAGCTTGTTGCCCATGGGCCTTAGGTTGCCTACCCCTGTTCTAACTTAAGATTCAGGAGCCTCAGCCTGCTATGGGTAGATGTGACTAGTGCAGAGTCTACCACCCTGCCCTTCGTTCCAGTGAAGTAAGAATGACAGTGACCAGCTCAGGTAACCCTGAGATAAATCCTGCAAAATGTACCCAGCACTGGGGATCAACCTGACAAATTCCTACTGGGCCCACTTTGTGCACTGCGGACTTTCAGTGGCAGTTTGCAAACAGCTACTCGCTTGGGGGACGCGGGTGGCGCTGTGGGTTAAAGCCTCAGTGCCTAGGACTTGCCGATCGAAAGGTCGGCGGTTCAAATCCCCGCGGCGGGGTGCGCTCCCGTTGCTCGGTCCCAGTGCCTGCCAACCTAGCAGTTCGAAAGCACCCCCGGGTGCAAGTAGATAAATAGGGACCGCTTACCAGCGGGAAGGTAAACGGCGTTTCCGTGTGCTGCGCTGGCTCGCCAGATGCAGCTTGTCACGCTGGCCATGTGACCCGGAAGTGTCTCCGGACAGCGCTGGCCCCTGGCCTATAGAGTGAGATGGGCGCACAACCCTAGAGTTGGACACGACTGGCCTGTATGGGCAGGGGCACCTTTACCTTTACTCGCCTGGGGCGAGTTGGTTAAGCAATAGCCAACCACACGGGGAAGACTGGTGGGGGGAAATGAGGCAGTTCTCTTCCTTTTTAGATTATGAATGGGTGACAGAAGAGAAGTATGTATTACTCTGCCACTGTTGACTTCCGAGGTCTCAGTGGGTTTTCTTTCTGCTTTGAAAGGGACACCAGGGCTGAGTTCAACCTTTGGGTAGACGTTGGCTTGATCTCCCCACCTCTCCCACCCCCAAGAGAGACAGAGTCTTGTTACAAAAAAAGAGAAAGACCACGTTTAATAAATTATGACGCTGGGGCCTCGCACTTGGGCCCAATAAATAACAAAGACGAGATCCAAAAAGACACAGCAGGAAAGGGAAGGGGGGAACCTTATAGTCTTGACCACATCAGCTTCCTGTCCAGCGGGTGGATGGGGTGGAACATTTTAGTTTCACTACAAAACTCTTTAAATGGAAAAAAGGGGGGAGGAACTGTTGCATTCACCAGCCACTCTGGATCTGCACCGGGGGGGGGGCTCGCAGAGGGTGCTTTGCTGTTCCTTAGGAACATCAAGCCTTATGCTGCACTGGACCCACTGCTCCATCCAGCTCACTACTGTCTACACCGGCTGGCAGCAGCCCTCCAGGGTTTCAGGTAAGGGACAGTCCCAGTCCTGCCTAGAGATGCCAGGGATTGAACCTGGGACCTTCTGCATGCAAGGCTCTAACCACTGAGCTGCACTGCTCCCTTCCACAGCTGGGCAAACATCACTTAGCCGCCAAAGCCAGACAGAAGCCTTTCTGCATCTCTGCATTCCAGAAGAGGCGAGAGCGAAGGTTTGCCTGCAGCTCAGCCACAAACATCAATCATTCTGACACAGATCCCACTTTCATGTTTAAGTGCTACCACCACCAACACCCCAACCTCAATAGCTGAAGTGAAATTTGGGGGCTGGAGGATTTTAAAGCATCTTTTTTGTGGGGCCGGGGGCATTGATTTAAAAAACATTTCAATGGCAGTTTGGAGCGCTGGTCTGGTCAGATGTGGCCCCTGCTTAATCGGGGGCAGCACATCTATGGCGTCTTGTGATAGGTCCTTGAACCAGTAATTTCTGATCATCAAAGCTGAGGGTTGAACAGGCCACCTTATTGCATCTCCTGGCCTCTTGGCTATTGGGTGTTTTTCCAGCCACCCAGAAAATTACGAGTTCCAAGTGGGTGCCATGCCATCCCGGTTAGGGTTCTGGGAGTATTTGAGGATGGGTGGGATGAGACTCTGGATGTTGCTGGACTCCAAGTCCCATCAGCCCCAATGGTCAGGAATGATGGGAGCTGGAGTCTAGCAACTTCCAGAGAGTGCTACATTGGCAAGAACCTGGGGATGAGAGCAACATCTCCCACAATGTATTTTTACATCTACAGAAATGATGAGATGTTGATGATTACAAGGGAAATTACCCCATCCCCGAACAAACAAATATGGTGCCACAGCTTTACGGACTGGGATGTTGGGCTTTTGTATGATTGGTGAGTTCACTGGTGGAGAGATGGGGCCCATAGCCTCCATAACGTTTATCCCCCCCCACTTGCTCCTTGCTGGTGATGGGTTCGAATTCCATTTGGGAAAAGACTGGGAACGCCTGAAAGACCACTGACATGAAGGGGCGCATGTCACACCCTGTCTCCTCTTTGTGCGGTGCGGGAAGAGGAGCCGGAGGTGGGGGGCAGGACACTTTAAAGCACCTAACATTAACAACCAAAATTTTTGTGTATATATTGCATCGTAAGATAAATTAGCTGGGGGGAGACGACGACACCCACTCCATACCAGCCCCTAGAAACCTAAAATAATATTTAGGGGAGCTAGAGAGTCCTAGGAGGACTCCCCCCCCCAAGTTTCAGCATCCCTTCCCCATTGTCAAAAAACCCCGAACCCCTTAATTAATGGAAGACAAGTTCCAGTTACATCATATTACCCTGAGAAGGGGAGGGGAAAGGGGGGAGAAGTGCTTAACAATATGTTTGAGGGAAGGGGCAGGAGGAAAAGGAGGGTCCAGTCCCCGCCCCCATCCCATAATATCATCAGTTCCACAGTATTAACCCTTGTTAAGAGCCACATAACAGGTTGGTGGTCAAAAGAGTCTAAGCAGCAATTACAGTTCAAATAAATAACTAGATGTGAGGGCAGAATTGAGGGCTTTTCTTCCCCCCTCCCCCCGCACAAACACACATACACCCCAAGCAAGGGAGGGGGGAGATTAATTGTGAATCGCGCCCCCCCTCCTCCTTTCCACCCACACTCTTATCCAAAAGAGATTCTGTGATCCTGAGCATTAAAATCTGGTGGGAAATGGGGGGGGGAGAGGAGTTTCACACCCGCAATGTTCCCCATGGACACCCCCTCTTCCATTACTGCACACACACACAAACACACATGTAAATTGCTTAGGATACCCCAGCCCCAAATTAGTCCATCGTGGTGGAAAGCAAGGCAATATCAGCATCTGGATCAAAAAAACTGGGGGGAAGACAAAGAGAACTCCCCCCCCCAATTTATACACACACACTCCCCACCCCAATAAATTAAAACTCAGCATGATCACACACACACACACACACACAAACAAACACACACACCACCCATTCCCCACCCCACGAAGGTAAGAAAGTTTTTTCAGAAGTCATTGTAGAAATAACTGTTCCCCGAAATTCCGATGGCGGCAGCAGCAGCAGCAGCAGCGGTACCTACAGAACGGAGCGCCGTCAGTCTTTGGCGTTGTCTGTCGTCTTGTACGCTGAGCGTTTTCAGATTGGTGGACTTAAGAAATGAATCCAAGCAAAGTTCCCTCAAGTGGGGGGGATGTAATAAAGTAGTTGAGAAGCCCCCCCCCCCGAATTCCTGCTCACTGCTTCAGCCCTCACATGCCGTCCATCAGTCCCCTTATTGCACTCCCGCCCCCCACTTCCTCTTCTTCCCAGCCCTGAGATTGACGGAGCTCATCCTGCACCCCATCTTGTTCACACTTCGGTCTCCACTCCGGCCAGCTTGGGGGTGAGGATCCGGGGCGTGACGCCGGCGTTGAGGTCCACTTCGAACTCCAGCAGTTGCCCCATGAAGTTGAGGTTGGGCGAGATGATGGGTCTTCGGCCTTTGACATATTTGTAGGCGTCGCCCATGGTCATGAGAGTGTGCTTCATCAGGTAGGCGATGACGATGGTGGCCGAGCGGGAGACGCCGGCCTGGCAGTGGATGAGGACTCCTTTGCCGCTCTGGTGTGCCTCCTCTGGAGTAAGGGAAGGGGGGTAGAGAAACAGCGTCAACGCTAACCTGAGAAAGGGGATGCACACAAATGCTTCCTGGACTAAATTCCATTTCACACACAGCTCCTTGCCTGTTTGCCTATGGCGAGTTAAGAATAGGCCCCAGGCGAACAGGCAGCAAAGTTTTTTTTAGAACAGGAAACAGATTGGGAGGAAAATAGAAATGAGGAACATAGGAAGCTGCCCTGTACAGAGTCAGACCCCTTGATCCATCTAGCTATTGTCTATCCTGGCTGACTTTGAATCATCAGGGTTTCAGATAAAAGACCATTCCAGAGGGAGATGCCAGGGATTGAACCCGGGACCTGCTGCATGCAAGACGGACGCTCTGCCACTGAGCTACACCCTCCCCTTTATTTCGCCGCAGGACTAGACCTCACCAATGAACTCAAAAGCTTCCTCGAAGTATTGGCGCAGGTCCTGGCGGTTGTTGTCGGTGGCGGGGAGGCGCTTGTAGCGCAGGCGCCCGCTGTCGGCGTGGTACAGGGGCAGGTGGGTGGTGACATTGAGAACGTGCCCCACGTTGAGGCTCAGCATCCGTTCGAGGTCCTGCGCGTCTCGTTCGTTGCCCAGGAACAGGAAGGGCAGAATGGGGCTCAGCTCGGCGTTCTCCAGGTCAGGCGTGAGTGGGGGGCCCAAGTCATCTGGGCCATCCGCAACATCTGGCCCAATCAGACTGCCTGTGGTCAAAACACAAAGTAAAGGGGTTGAGTCCCTGGAGTGGAAGCATTGTGCAGAAAAAGTGCTTGAGTTTTATTTTTTCCTCCTCCCTCCCAATCTGTTTTCCTTTTGTGTGTGCCCCCCCCTCTCTCTCTCTCTCTTTCTTTCTTTCTTTCTTTCTTTCTTTCTTTCTCACTTTCTTTAAATTGAGCCTGAGGGCAGGGACTATTTTTCCACTGACATTTGTAAGCTGATTTGGGAGCCTTTTCTGGCAGGATAAAAAAGCTTTGCGTAAGTGAGTAAAGAAATGAATTGTAATAATTCAATTTTAATTAGGGCTGCGAAGTTTTAATCGATCAGTAGGTTTGGCTGAGCAGTTAGAAACCAGGGATGTGAGCGCGGGCAAAACGTTTTGCTCTCATTTCCTTATTTATTCGGAGCGTTTGCATCAAATGATCCTCAAGGAGTCTTGCACTAGATTGCAGCGACAGACAATTGCCTATCTCAGTATTGTCTGCACTGACAGGCAGCATCACTCCAGGATTTTGGGGCGGCGTGGTCTCCCTAACCCTACCTGGAGATGCTGTGGATGAAACCAGGGACTTTCCCCCTGCAAAGCAGCTGCCCTCCCAATGACCTGCCAATCATGCTGCCAAGGTGGGAGGTTTGGATGGAGGTGTAGGCACAGAACCCCACTCAGAAAAAGGTGTTTTGGGGACAGGGAGCTGGAAACACAGCAGGGCTGGCGCTCCCGAATTTTGAAGCAAGTGAATGGGGGGGGGGACTCTGGATCAGGTGTGGGGGTCCTTTAGCCCTCCAGACGTGGTTGAACTACAACTCGCATCTTCCCTGGTCGTACACTGTCCTTGCTGGCACTGATGGGATGTGTAGTTCATCAGTGTCTGGAGAGTCAAAGGTTCCCCCCCTTTGCCCGCTGCACCTGCTCTAGATGTTTTGCACTACAATTCCCATCACCCCTGACCACTGGCCACCACTGGTGGGCAGTTGGGGCACCAAAGAGCCTCTCCAGCCACCCCCATCCCAGCCAGATGCTGAAGTCCAAGGTATAAAATTACCAAAAGGCACAACACGGGAAAAGAGCTGTGTGTGACACCCAAAGCTGGTCAATTTGGTGGCAGAGTAATATTCTAAGTTGAGTTTCTGAATCTCTTCTGTGCCCACCCCACAGAAACAACCCCTGAAAAAGGTCGTGTGAGAGCCTCTGCTTAAATGCAGGTTCAATCCCCAGCGACATCTCTAGATAGGGATGGGAAAGCTCCCTGCCTGAAACCCCAAGAGCTGCTGCCAGTCAGAACAGGCAGCACTGAACTAGATAGGTCAGCGGTCCAATTCCGTATAAGGGAACTTTGTATGCTCCAAATTGGTGCTAACCAAATCACTTGGAGAGGCTGCCCCCCCTTCCCCTTTGCAGTTTTATGTGGGAGGAAGGTGGGGGCGAAAAGGGAGGGGACTTGTTCTTCTTCCTGACCTAAAACATCTGCTATGTAAAATGACACCCCACCCTCCATGGTGGGGGCTGGCAGGGGCTGGGGAGAAGGGAGGGGGCAAGTGTGAAAGAAGGTCAAAGAAATGATGTCATGTTACCAGCTGGGTAGAGTTCATTCTGGTTCAATGGGGTTTTGAACAGGTGCTAAAAGTGAGGTGGGGGTGAACTGGGGGTGTGTGAAGCCCCCCTTTGCATCTTGCCATCTGCTCATGCAGCTGGGATGAGGTCACTAAAGTGATGGTGGAGCGGTGCAAATCTTAAACCTAGGCTTTAAACCCAACCCAATTGGCAAAGGGAAAACATGCATGGAAAGAACTGCCCTGTTGTGTCTTCCTGTTGTATTCATTCTATCAACATAATGTTTTGTGGTTTAATCTCCCATCTCTCCCCCAGTGAGCTCTAGGGAGCATCTATGGTTCTCCTCCAAACTTCCTTTCTCCCTGTGGCTTCCAAGGGAAGTCTACATCCTACATTGGCTCCCAGTATGTTTCCGAGCACAATTCAAAGTGTTGGTGCTGACCTTTAAAGCCCTAAACGGTCTCGGCCCAGTATACCTGAAGAAGTGTCTCCACCCCCATCATTCTGCCCAGACACTGAGGACCAGCGCCAAGAGCCTTCTCAGTAGTGGCACCCACCCTGTGGAACGCCCTCCCATCAGATGTCAAGGAAATAAATAACTATCTGACTTTTAGAAGACAACTGAAGGCAGACCTGTTCAGGGAAGTTTTTAATGTCTGATGTTTTATTGCTTTTTTATATTATTATTATCGTTAATTCTGTTGGGAGCCGCCCAGAGTAGCTGGGGAAACCCAGTCAGATGAGTGGCCTATAAATTATTGTTGTTATTGTTATTGTTGTTATTGTTATTACCAACTGGGAAGCAGGTAGTTCAACGTAGAACAAAATGTAGTAAGGAAAAATATAAGAAGAAGAAGAAGAAGAGTTTGGATTTGATATCCCGTATTATCACTACCTGAAGGAGTCTCAAAGCGGCTAACATTCTCCTTTCCCTTCCTCCCCCACAACAAACACTCTGTGAGGTGAGTGGGGCTGAGAGACTTCAGAGAAGTGTGACTGGCCCAAGGTCACCCAGCAGCTGCATGTGGAGGAGCGGGGAAGCGAACCCAGTTCACCAGATTACGAATCTACCACACTTAACCACTACACCACACTGGCTCTCAGAAAGCCTGAGAAGGACCCCAGGGAAACTCAAGGCTGATGGATAAGGGGCAGCCTTGCAGAAATAATCAACCCCTTGTCTGGAGGCAGGGGTACTTTAAAGCGGGGAGACACGGTGTTAGCCCAGAACGCATTCCCCTCGGACCAGCAGAAGGCTCAGGGCAACTGGGGAGGTGGCGGCCCCAAGAACTTTTGACACACCAACGCAATTTCTGCCACCACCACAGCGGTCGGCACCTAGAACCCCCAGCTCACCTCTCCGTCCGACCCCTTCCTGCCCCCCATCTTTGTTGAGCAGATCCAGCACCAGGTGGAGATTCTGGGAGGTCTGTGTTTTGCGGGGCTTGGGGGGGCTGGCGGGGAGAGGCTCCGGACTGGCGTGGCCGCTGGGCTCCTTGGCCCAGAGGCGCTGCAGCGAGGAGTCCCTTGTGTCGCAGCCTCCCCGCGAGGAGATGAAATCCAGCATGGCCATCTTCCCCTGCTGGAGCCGCCTCCGGCCCGCTGCGTCGGCTGCCCCGAAGCGCATGGCGCCCTGGAGCTGGCTCTTGGTGTATTCCATCAGGTTGCGGCAGTCCAGGATGAGCGGGGAGACGTGCTGCTGCTGCTGCTGCTGCTGTTGCGCCCGGGACCGTGTCATTTTCTTGGCCAGCTCGTCGGGCCAGATGGTGCGGACGCTGTAGTCGTCGTCATCCCCGCAGCTGGGGGCCGGGGATGAGCCTGCCCGGGGGTCGTAGGCCACGATGGGGTCGCTGCTGCAGAAGCTGCAGGAGGAGCTGCCCGACTTGACCGAGGGGTTGCAAGCCAGGCAGGCCAGGGAGCGCAGGGCCGAGGAGGGGGCGCAGGGCAAGCACCCCAGCTTCTTGACGGACGGCGGGCTGCAGCTGGAGCAGCTGAGGGAGCGCAGACTGGAGCGGCAAGAGAAGCAGCCCAGGGAGAGCAAGCCGCCCTTGGGGCCGGCGTCCTCGCAGCGCATGAGGCGCCAGCAGCCGCGGCAACCGCATTTGAGGGGGTGCATGGCGGGGCTGGAGAGGCAGGAGGAGCTGGTGGATGTGTCCAGCACCGCCGGTTTGGAGTTCTCCTTGAAGCAGCGCTTCTTGAGCTTCGCCTGGGGCAAGAAGACCTTCAGCTGGGGCCCAGTGAGGCCTTTCGGCTTAGTCTCGGCCTGCTTGAGGTCCAGCTGCAGGGAGACGTTCCTCTCAGGCGACAGGCTCTGCACTCCTCCCACCGTCAGCTTGATGTCGATGGTGTGAGAGTGGTTGGGCTGCAGGACGCCCGGCGTCCCCCGGCGTGCGGCCTCGTCGCAGGGCGCCTTCGCGGGAGCCGGGGCGGCCTGGCCAGGCGCTCTGGAGGCTGCCAGGGGCTGCTTCTCGCCACCGCCTGGGGTGCCCCCGTTGGCAAAGCTGTGGTTGAGGCGCAAGGCCAAAGTTTTGGGTCGCTGCAGCACGCCGATCCGTTCTTCCAGAGGCGAGGGAGGCATTGGGAAAGGTGAACTGCAGGGGGAAAGAGAGAGGGGGGGAGGAGAGAGAGATTATAATATATAATAATAAAAATTTTTATTTATACCCTGCCCTTCCCGGTTCACAAAACTGGGCTCAGAAGAGCATGCAGCAAGATGGTGCCCATGTTTTCTCTCTTTTGCCAGGGGTGTCTAAGGTTTCCTTGAGCTCTGCCACCCCGCACGATCCAGATACAGTGGTACCTCAGGTTACATACGCTTCAGGTTACAGACTCCGCTAACCCAGAAATAGTACCTCGGGTTAAGAATTTTGCTTCAGGATGAGAACAGAAATCGTGCTCTGGCAGTGCGGCAGCAGTAGGAGGCCCCATTAGCTAAAGTGGTGCTTCAGGTTAAGAACAGTTTCAGGTTAAGAACGGACCTCCGGAATGAATTAAGTACTTAACCCGAGGTACCACTGTATTACAATGTGGGAATCGCATTCTCAAACACATTATTTCCCTGGGCACTCTAGTTTACACCTCAGCCAGCTACAATTCCCAGCGCTTCTAACAAACTGCAGCCAGGGGCAGATCTACTATGAAACTAATGAAGCTTAAATTTCAGGGCCTCTAATCCCAGGGCCCCACCAGAAATGACTTTACTCTGCATTGCTTTTTAAAAAATTGGGTCTAGTAGACCCAATTTGAATCGCACAACTCGCAATCATTTTATGACACATCATGAATGTAAATAACATTTCCCTAATTTTCACACACACACCCCGCAAATAACTTGAATTCACACAAGTGACTTTGAGATGTGAAATAGTCTAGTAGAGCAATTTTAATCAAAATATGAAATGCAGTGGCTATTTTTTAATTAAAAAAAAAAAAAGAATTGTGGTGAACTGTTGTGGAACAACCCCGTTAACTAAGATCACCCAGACCTTGTTGTCGGTTGCAAAGGGGACCCCGTAGGAGTTCATTCTTCAGGGCCTCAAAAATGTAGGTCCGCCACTGATTGCAGGTCCCAGTGTGCATGTAGCCTTTGAGAGGGGCAGGGGAATCTGCGGCCCTCCAGATCTGACACTGGGTGAAAACTCCCACCATTGGCCCTGCTGGCTGGTATCCTGGCAACATAGAGAGGGCTGCAGGTTCTCCATCCCTGCATTAAACAGGGAAGGCTGCCTTGGGTAGCGAAGCAGATGTCTTCCAGAGAATGCCTTCTAGGAGTTGGCACTCCAGTCGTGGAATGCCCTCCCCAGGGGGACTTGCCAGGAATGCCAACCTGACTGGTCTTCCCCACAGCAGGCAAAGGCTTCCAAGCTTTTGAGATACAATCATAGAATTATAGGGTTGGAAGGGACCATGAGGGTCATCTAGACCAACCCCCCTGCAATGCAGGAATCTTTTGCCCAATGAGAGGTTTGAACGCATGACCCTGAGATTAAGAGTCTCGCGCTTTGGCAACTGGACATTCTCCGTGTATTTCTCACCCCCATCTTTCTCCAGATAATGGGTGAGGCAACTGGCTTTGGGTTACTCAGCACCAAGAAGTATAGCTCTCTGCACATGCTCAGGGGAACACTTTCCTTTACATTCAAAACCTGACGGAGCCCATGCATGAGGAACCTGTGGCCCTCCAGATGTTACAACAACTCCCAGTCGGCATAGCTGGTGGTCTGCAGAGCCACAGGCTCAAATTACCTTAATGCATCACCAGAAGCACCCTGAGAAGCCAGCGTCTGGCCACCAGGCCTGGGAGATTTTCCTCAGGCTCTGATTGGCTGTACTCCAGGTTTCCTGATTGGCTAATGAGCTAGAGTGATGTTGATGAACTACAACTCCCATCAGTCCTAGCAAGCATGTGGTCCGACAACATCTGAAGGGCCAAAGGCTCCCCACACCTGTGGCAGAGGCTTTGTGCCAGAAATCTTCACAGCTGCTTCCCTCACCTGTGGCATTTTGCTCCTTCGCTCACCTTCCCCATACAGGTGTCATCATTTTGTCCCAACTTAAGCAGATAGCCAATTCTCTGGACTAAATCCAGGTATGGTTTGTTGGTTTTTTTGGTCATGTATTTTAGTGTTGTGATAGCTTGCTGCATGCATACATTTGGCACTTAAATCATAATTGACAAATTGTGCCTTGGAGGGGGGAAATGGGATTCTAGTGTTGCTTTTCTGTCGGATTTACTGATTTATTTTCACCATATTCTTATCTAGTGCTGGCTTATCATGGAAAAGGGAACAGACCTCTGTTTCCTGAATTGCTAGCAATTGTAATGAGTGCCCCTCTAATTTAAAAGGTTCCAGCAGACATTATTCACACTGAGAGTCAGTGTGGTGTAGTAGTTAGGGTGTCGAATTCGGACTTGGGAGAGACCAGGATTCAGATGCCCACTTGGCCATGAAGGCCACTGAGGTACCTCGGGCCAGTCACCGGCTCTCAGCCTACCTCGCAAGGTTGTTGTGGGGATCAGAAAGGGAGAACCATGTACACAGCCTTGAGCTTCTTGGGGGAATGGTGGGAAATAAATGAAATAAACGAATAAATTCTTTATGACTGATTATCGCAGCCTTAAGGGCCTAGAGTCTTAAGAAAAAAGAAACCCTCGAAAACTAATAATTCTTAGATTGCTAAATTCTGTGTCTTGTGTGTTGTGCACTTGTCTGGAATTGTGGGCTTATGACTTAGCTCTACATGCCACTTGCTTGGCCAGCTCTAGCCATCATCCCTGGTATATCTTAATATTCCTTCCTTCCTTTCATCTTTTCTTTTCACCGTGGGGTACACCCACGCTGTATGTGCTGACGAAATCCTTGCTGCATCTGCCCTCACAAAGCGGTGAAGCTTGCCCACTATTTCATTCCAATTTTACACATGGGAAAACTGAGAGGTAGTCATTAATTGGTGGAAAGTGGGTTTGGATCAATTAATGACCTCCTTCTCCCTCTGTTTATGTTTAAATCCTTTCACTTGGTATGTCCACCCTGCTTTTGATGCCATGAATTACATGATCGTTCATGATAATAATGAACGGCAGGGGGTTGGGCTAGATGACCCTGGGGCCCCTTCTATCAATTCTACAATTTGATGACGATTATACAATCAAGCAGCATCTAATTTCATTTGTGGTTAAAAACTGGGGGGGGGGGGAGAATGCCACTAAGAGCCAAGGAACGCTTAACTAAATTCCTTATCCCCCCTCTTCCTTTTAAAAACATCCTCTCTCTCTAGATATAAACTGGGTCAGGTTTAGCAAAAGGGCTTTCTGATGGGAGACAAACATGTTAGCTCCCCCACCCTCAGATCTTTCCAGCACTTCATGTGCTGCTGGAGCAGGAGGAGGAGATCCTGGATCAGCCTCCTTTCTCTTTCCTCCCCCCCCCCGCCCCCATTCCAGCTTTCTTGATGCATCTTCCCCCACCCCACCCACCCCCATCCCCATTAAAGCCGTGTTATCAAGAAAAATACACCTCCCTGCCACATTTCCCTGCAGGGACTTGGAAAAAGATTCAAAGGCGCTAGGTTCCGTGCCAAGGAGAGATTAGCCATCCTCTTCCAAAATCACATTTTCCAACACACACACACACACACACACACACACACACGGAGGGAGGGAGGGAGGGAGGGAGAATAAGAAAAGCACTCTGCTTTTGGGGGGTTGTGGGCATTGAGGGTGTGAGCACGTGCCCAGCAACACCCTCCTCTGCAAGCGTTTTTCACACTTCTGGGATGGAGGGAGGCAGCCTCTGTTCTGAAGGGCAGTAGCCGCTCAAGGGCTCTGTGTGTGTGGCTTGTGTGTGTGAGCGTTTGATGGAGACACCAAGGACCACAGCAGCCTTGCGATGTTTGCCAGGCTTGCTAAGAAACCCTTTCGCTGCGTGCCGCCTGGGGAACAAGGCGCCTGGGACTGCGGAGGAAGAAACTGAAACAGAGAAAAACAAAAATTAAGAACTCTCTCTTTCTCTCTGGGTTTGTGTGTGGTTGCTGCACAGCAGCCTTTCCCAACCTTTAGCCCTCCAGATGTTGTCGGACCACAACTCCCATCATTCCCGGCCTCTGGCCTTGCAGGCAGGGCTGTTGGGAGTTATAGTCCAATGGCATCTGGAGGGTGCCAGATTCGGGAAGGCTGTCTCTGCCCTGATGTCTGTGCCGCTCTCCCTCAACCCCCAAACTGTGGGATAACCAACCTCATACAATCAACATGCTTAAGTTTAATTAATGCATGAAAGGGTTAAGACCATAGAGTAAGCTCTCCTGGCAGGCTTAGCTTATCTGCCAGGCTCAGCTTATCCTTGACTAGCAGGACCAATGGTCAGGGATGATGGGAGTTGTAGTCCAACAACAGCCGGCAACCCAAGTTTGAGAAACACTGTGCGGTTGACACTGTAAAGTCACGTAGCTTATATGCTAATGGGTGGTTTTGCCAGGACACCCCACCTTCTTGAAGCCACACCTTCTCTCCCCAGGCCACACCCCTCAATGGCCCTCCCTCCACACCAGGCATAGGCAAACTCAGCCCTCCCCCCATCCCTGATCACTGGTCCTGTTAGCTAGGGATGATGGGAGTTGTAGTCCCAAAATATCTGGAGGGCCAATGCCTGCTCCACACCCTCCTGGGGTGTTTCTGCCTTGCTGGGATTGGTCCCTGAACTCTGATCATGCCTTTTGGTTGCCTGGATGGAGGATGTGTGACTGAGTGTAGAAATTTGCCTACTGTACAAAAGTTACGTGTGCATTTGTTGCCCCGCCCACTTTTGCCTCTGGCCCCTCCCACCACTCGCATGCAGCCCCCAGAAACCTTCCTGGCTCTTGGGCTGAATGAATTTTCCCACCTCTGTTTTTGCTGTAGGTCCAGACACTGAACCTGCACACTTCTATGTGGAAAGCAGCGAGCTCTGTCCCAGATCTATGGGACCCTCCCTCTCCAAATCTCTACCCCCTCCTTCATCCACCACCTGCAAGGGATCCCCAAAGGTCATACAGTCCAACCCCCTGCGATACAGGACTCACAGCTAAATTGTGTGTGCATGTTTGATTTGTGTAACACGTGCATGCAGAAAACAAAATACCCCTCTGCAAACACCCAGTTTCCTCTGCCTGCTCCTCGCCTCTCCCTCTTCCACATCCCGCAATCCCAAAGTCCCCTATTTCCTAGTGACCCATATATACCCATCTGCAGCCAAAGCCCCGCGGTTCTGCTCCTATCTTCTGCCACCCCTTTAAAATAAAATTTAAAAAAAACCTAGGAATTATAATCTTGGCTTGCCTGCGTCCCCGCCCACACACTCAGCCAGCACAAAAGTCTCCTTCTCCCGGAGGTTCTTTTGCAGAACAGCCACACAGCCCAGCGACACTAATCTGGGGCGACAGCGCTGTTATTTCCATCAACCGTGTGCCCGGCAAGCGAGGGGCGATTGCGCGCGACAGCCGAGTGCAGCACTTGGGGGTGCAGAGGGGGAGAAAGCTCCGCCCTCGGTTGCAGAAAAAGGAATTGCATCACCACATTGCCTTGGATGATTTGGGGGGGGGTGACTGTCCATCAACTGGATATTCTAATCCCCTCTCCCTGACTTATTTATTCATTGCATTTCAACCCCACCTTTCTTCAGAGGAGTTCAAGGTGATGAAGGTGATTCTTCCCCCTCCCCAGTTTTATCCTCCCAACAACCCTGCGAGGCAGGTTAGGGAGAGAGACAGTGTCTGCATACACAGTGTACATTTAAAGCACTCAAAGGATCCTGAGAACTGTAGTTTCTTAACGATGCTGGGAATAGTAGCTCTGCGAGCGGTAAACTACAGTTCCCAGGATGCTTTTTGGGGAAACCAGGTCCTTTAAATGCACGGTGAGTGCATACCCACAGCCCTCAGTGGGCATCATGTCAGAGTGTGGATCAGACACTCTTAACCCTTACAGCACCCTGGCTCTTTTGTTCAGCTGCTGTTAAAAAAAGCTAAACACATTCCGTCTCTATCTAGCTGTTGCAGAGATAATAAGCAAAAATGGGCAGGCACAGTGGCGTAGCGTGGGGGGTGCAGGGGGGCCCCGGCCGCAACATCTAGGGGGGGCGCGCTCGCACTCGAGAGGGGATCTATGGGGACCCTGCTCCGGGTTAGGGGGCGCAAATTACTTGCCTTGCCCCGGGTGCTGACAACCCACGCTACGCCACTGGGCAGGCAAGATTCTAGTCCATAGGAAGCAAGGCAATGAAATAACTTTTTCGGCTGGAGTAGGGCAATCTGCATTTATGCTCTGGCTGGTTTGCAAGGATTGTTGCAACTCCTCCTTCCTGCAAAAATCCTGGCTGAGGGTTAGCCCTGCCCTGTTCCACTACTTCTCCTTACACCCCGATTATCTCCGGCAGATATCTCTAAGACAATCTCCACCGATCTGGCACCCTCCTCCAGATGTTGTTCTTTGAAACCAACACTCGTCAGCCCCAGACAACGCAGCCAGTAGTCGCAGCTCAAAACATCTGGAAGGGGCACCAGGTTGACGAAGCCTGCCTTATAACCAGCCAGGCTGCTCATCCATGTAGCTCAAGTGTGGGGAACCTTTGGCCTTCCAGATGTTGCTGAACCACAGCTCCCATCAGCCCCTGCCAACATGGCTGATGGCAAAGGATGGTGGGAGTTGTAGTTTAGCAACATACAGAAGTCTCCACACCTGATCTGGACAGTTGCTCTGACAGGCAGGATTGCAAACAGAAGCTTTCCCATCAACTGCTGCCTCACCTTTTTAAAACTCTGTGCTTTTTTCTCTCACTGCTTCCCCATTCCATCCTGGAGCTGCCTGTCATTCTTGACCCCCAACATCTCCCATGAGATCTTGCAGCAGGGAGGGCCTTAGAAAGCAGCTCTCCCTTCTCAGCCTCCCCCTACCAAAGTAGTGAGGAATTCTGCTCCACAAATAGCTCGCCCACCCCAATAACGTAATGCTCCCATTAAGAAATTGCCGGAATGCTGATTTCCCCCGCCGGCAGCATTTGCACTGTGGTCTCCTTGAGGGCAGGGACCTCTGCCTCCCTCTTTCCTGGGAAACTATGTAAAGTGTGTTTGACATTGATGGGGCTACAGTAATTAATCATTATAAGAATAAGTAATGCAAGCATCCCCCAAAGAACGCTCCTTGCCAGCGAAAACTCCCTCGTGCGAAGTACTGTGTTCGGCACGTGCCTCTGTGCTTCGTGGCACATATACGGTACACTTGCACACTCACTCACTCTGTCTGTCTCTCACCCGCATATACACAGAGGAAGCTGCTTCACAAAGAGTCAGAACATTGGCCCATCCAGCTCAGTATCACCTACACTGACTGGCAGCAGCTGTCCAGGGTTTCAGCTGTACCTGGAAGTGCCAGGAATTAAACTAGGGACCTTTTGCATGAAAGGCAGATGCTCTAACACTGGGACACACACACACAGAGTCATGGTCAGTTTATTAACACGCCACATTTCCTGCAAACACCGTGTGCTCAAAGAAGTTTATGCGCACACATACACCAGACAATTTAGCTGCACACAGGCTCTCCATTGCACAATCTAGCCATTCAAGCATGCACCCTCTCTGGTCTGTGCACACTGCCTCCCCCTGGCATTGCTTTCTACACAACCAACACCCATGCTCACTACACACCAGCGGGGATTTCCATCCCTCTGCTCAGCCCTGAAGCTCAGCCAGCTTTGCGTTCAGGGAATTCCAAAGCCCTCCGACACATCGCTTCCTTCCCTCCTGCCTGAATCGGATTTGCACACGCAGGCGGGCGCCCGCCGCTTTGTGGACGCACAAAACGGCTGTGTGCACGTGTGTGTGTACAGACATCTGCACACTCAGCAGTGCACACATCTCCCTTTCCAGCTTGGGTCGGTGTACACTCTCCAAATGCACTTGAAAGAAAGGAAGAAAGACGAGGTCCCCCCCCCCTGCCAACACTCACCCTGACGTGGCTGGTGGTCCCCCTGCAGCGCCTGTTCACTTCCTTTTGGGCTGCCGTTCAGCTCTCTCCTCCACCAAATGAAGTTGTGCGCTGCCTCTAAAAATACCCTCCTGAGCTCATAGCCTGGCAGTGCCCAATGAGGGCATCTGTCTCCTCGGGTTTCACCCCACACCATGAGCTCACCACTTGGCCCTAGATATGCTGTGTCGGGGGCGGGGTGTGTGCGGGGGGGGGGAGAGAGACAAGGAGGGGGAGAGGCCTCCAGGGGATTCCACATGTCCCTGGGCCTCCGGGTGCTCCCTGCCACCTCCCAAAACATGCTGATGGGCGGAACGCGGAGTTCCAATCGGCATTTGCAATGTCTCATCTGGTAACAACAGGAAAGGATGCGAGGCTGGCCGGGATTAATTGGTATGAATCACCCAAAGCCTTTGATTCC